ATAAAATAATTGTTAAGTATCGTTTTCCAGTGTCGAGAATTGACGAACTCATTGATAAGCTGGTCGGAGCTTCAGTGTTATCCAAACTGGATTTGCGCAGTGGTTATGCCCAAATCCGTATACGACCCGGTGACGAATGGAAGACGGCCTTTAAGACCCCATTGGGTCTCTACGAGTGGCAAGTAATGCCTTTTGTCCTATGTAATGAACCTTCCACTTGTATGAGGATGATGCAAGATATACTCAAACCTGTTTGGGGAAAATTTTGTATTTCATATTTTGATAACATTCTTGTCTACAGTGATTCATTGGAAGAGCATGTTGAACACCTTCGGCGACTTTTATCATCCTACAGGACAATCAATTATTTCTCAACCTCCCAAAATGTGAGTTCGCCACCTCTCATGTTCTCTTCCTTGGCTTTGTTATGTCCAAGGATGGTGTTCAAATGAATACGGGTAAAGTTGATGCCATTCTAAATTGGCCCATTCCAAGTTCTTTCATCGAAGTCAGAAGTTTTCACGAGCTTGCCAAATTTTATCAAAAATTCATTAAGGGGTTCAGTATTATTATGAGTCCGATTACAGAATGCTTGAAATCAAAAATTTTCCATTGGGGTGAACAACAGCAACACAACTTTGACACTATCAAGAGAGCTCTAACTTTTGCCCCAGTTCTGGCTATTCCCTGTTTTGATAAACTGTTCACTGTGGAGACAGACGCCTCCTCGGTTGGCATAGGTGTTGTTCTGTCCCAAGAGGGACATCCCATTGCGTATTTTAGTGAGAAACTATGTCCATCACGACAACGATGGTCGGCATATGAACAAGAATTATATTCAGTCATTCGCGCTCTTAAGCAATGGGAACATCATCTCTTACATCAGGAATTTGTCATTTGTAAAGACAACCGAGCTCTCCAATTTATAAATAGCCAAAAACATGTTAACTGGATGCATGCTCATTGGGTCTCTTTCCTCCAAAAGTTCTCCTTCCTCAAACATCAATCCGGTCAGCATAATACGGTTGTTGATGCACTTAGTCGGAAAAATATTTTACTAACCTAGCTCCAAACGGAATTTATTGGCTCGATTTGCATTTAAGAACTCTATGCCAATGACCCTGATTTTGCAACTATATGGACTCAATGTCAACAAGACCAACTTGTATTAGGTTATTCTATTTTCCACGGTTTCCTTTTTCACAATAATCTCCTTTGTGTTCCCGTATCTTCTTGGCGACAGCACTTAATACGAAAGGCCCATTGCGGAGCTATTGCCGCTCATACCGGACATGACAAGTCCCTGGCTCAAGTGAAAAGTAGGTTCTATTGGCCGAGACACTGCCATGAAGTTTTTCGATTTGTTGATCGTTGCTCAATCTATCAAAGCTACAAGGGAGGTGCCCAAAACACGTGTCTTTATTTTCCATTACCAGTTCCTGATTCTATATGGGAAGACCTCAGTTTGGACTTTGTTCTCGGCCTACCCGCACAAAAAAACAGGTAACGACTAGATTATGGTCGTAGTCGATAGTTTTTCTAAAATGGCGCACTTCCTTTCTTGCAAGAAAACTTCAAACGCACTTCACATTGCTTACCTTTTTTTTCACAAATTGTGCGTCTACACAGCATTCCGAGGAGCCTCACCTTGGACAGAGAAGTCAAGTTTATTAGCCATTTTTGGCGTCAGTTATGGAAATGATTGGGCACCAATTTGCGTCTCAGTTCAGCCTATCATCCCCAATCCGACGGCGAAACCGAGGTGGTCAATCACACCTTGGGCAATATGCTCCGTTGCCTAGTGCAGGACTACCCGAAACAATGGGAATATATGCTAACCACGGCTAAATTCGCTTACAACTCTATGGTGAACCGCTCCACTGGTAAGACTCCATTTAGCATTGTTTATACTAAACTCCCCAACCTTGCATTGGATGTAGCCGTCCTGCCCAAGTGCAAGTCAGGAGCTGCTACAAGCTTTACAAATCAATACTCCAAAATGCTTGCTGATGTTCACCAACAGCTGACCAAAGCAAATCATAAGTATAAGGATTCCACCGACCTCCACCGCAGGTAGACTTTGTTTAATGTAGGCAATCTTTTCATGGTACGACTTTGTCGTGAATGTTTCCCTCCAGGCGCTTACTCCAAACTGAGACGCCGAAAATTGGTCTACTCCCCATCGTTGCCAAGATCAACGATAACGCCTACACCGTCGAGTTGCCGCCAGGATACACTACATCCCCCACTTTCAATGTTTCAGATATGTGGCATTATCACCCTCCATATGAGTCCCCGATCACAATCAACTCGTCGGAGTCGAGCTCTTCCGATGCCAGGGAAGACTGATATAGTGCATGATAAGTCCACCAACAAACATTTCGTTATGTGGCAGTCCCACCTCCACCTTTACCTATTCGGTAGTACTCCACTCATCTAACATCTTATTAGTCTTCAAAATAATATTGAAAAGTTTTGTAAGCCAAGAAATTCTTTCATCCCCTAAGCACTCTCACACCACCTCTATTAGAAAATCATCAGGTCTAGCAACTTTTCACACTTCATTTTCTTTAAAGCTTTTCTAACTTTGATTTTCCTACTACGTCGATAAAAACAAAATTTTCTATTTTCATTTGGGGTGCTAAGGTCCCTAGAGTCAATTGTATTCTGACAACCTTCATTAAAAAGCTTATCAAAATTTATCATCGAACTTTGTTGAATATCCTCTTCTAATAAAAATATTTTTCATCTTCATCCTTAATGCACTTCACTTGAACTAAATCCTTCTATTTTTTTTGTCTGGCTAACTTATATATACATTTTTTGCTCTCCTTAGTATCTAATATATTATATAAATCATTAAAAGTCAAATTCTTTGCATCACATACTGTTTTCTTAGACTCCTTGCGGGCCTCTTTATATCTTTCCAATTTTTCGAGTTTTTACATCTAAACTGATTTTCATAACAAAACTTATTATTTTTTTATCTTTACTTATACATTTTTACTCCACCGCCAACTATTTTTACTATTAAGAATTTTTTCTTTTGATACTCCAACTACATCCTTTGCAACTTTCTCAATATCATTAGCTAATTTTTCCTACATTAGCTTTCTTATGTACAGTCAGAATCTTAAGATCTTGAGTCTTACTCTCAAAAAATATTTTTGTTACTATTATTTAAATGCTCTCATCTAATCATATGACAACATTTTACTTTATTTTTTATATTACGCCCCTTCATCTTTAAATCCAAAACTAATAGGCGATGCTAAGTATATAACTTTCACTCACAATAAATTTATAAATTTTACAATCTAAACAATTTATTTTTCTTATAAAATAATTATCAATTTGAGTTTTACTATATCCATTCTTATAAGTGATGAGATACTCATCTCTTTTCTTAATAAGATGTTAGCAATTATAAAATCATATGCTAGAAAAAAATCTAATATAATCCTTCCACCTTCATCAGATACTCCAAATCAATAACCACCATGAATGTTTTTAAAATCTTCTATCTCTCTACCAACATATCTATTCAAATCTCCTCCAATAAAAATATTTTCTTCAAGAGGTATCTTTTAATGTAATTATTTTAAGTCATTTCAAAATTTTAATTTTGAACACATATCTAATCCTACTTGGGGAGCATAAGCATTTATGATATTAATAGTCTTAGCATCAATAACAATCTTTAAAACTATAATTTCATCTCCAATTCTATTAATTTTTACCACATTATCCTTCAAAATCTTATTTATAATCACACCAATCCCATTTCTAATATGTCTACTACCTAAATACTATAGTTTAAATCCTAAACTATCAATCTCCTTCGCTTCTCTCCAAGCCATTTAATTTCTTGAATGCATAGAATATTTATCTTCCTAAGAATCATAATATTTATTAATTCTATTAATTTGTGTGTAAGAGAAAATATATTTCAATATCCTATCATAATTCAATTTTTATGGACTAGCTTTTTTACCCACAACCATCTGTGATGCTAGAATCCTTATTTAACACTGTACTCAGATGCCAGTGTAGTGACCCTTATACAATTCTTATTGTATTCAGGTCATACAACGCGTCGTTTTTAGGGAAAGCCATAGCATTAACACAATATATTAAAGAATTAATGTCATGATTATTCGACAAGTTTTATGCTGGCTAGAAAAAAAATTGCAACAATATATCTTCAAAAATTCGATGCTCCATTTGCCAAAGATGGATAGATTATCGAAGAAAAACCCTAACCTTATAATAGGTTAAGAAGTTGAGAAGATGAACCTGTATGAAGACTTGAATTTCATGTAGGAATCAATCTGAAACTTTAAATAATGGTATTATTTTAATCATAAAGTAAATATCATTCAAAGTTAAGGAAAAAAGTCCATGTTAGCTAAAATAATAAAATACTTAACGTTGTCAGTTAAAACATAATATCACAAGGACAACAACAGGAGGTTATTAAAACAATCCTAACTAATGTCTAACATGTAGAAAGGAAAGTTTCGAAATGAGGAACATAGAAACTCATGTTGTCCTTAGCTGTTCTATAAAGAAACGTAAACATTAGATGTCCGATACACTTCAATCAGGGCTTGATTCAACTGGAATAAGAAAAATAACAGTTGATAAGTAGGAAAATAAAAAGTCAAGTGAACATTCCATATTTTGAGGCTACTTTTTCATCAATTTTTGTGGTTATACCGTGAAATCTCATGACCATCTAAATCAGTATACATCGACTCACAAACTCAACCTTGATAAGATCCTAGTTCGATGTCACAAACCCTTCTAATATCTCACGACTGAACTTCGGATAATATGACTGCATGTATGCCTAGGATCTTTAACGGGTTATTGATTATTTTATATTCAACTTCTCATAAAATGGCAGATTTCTATTGTGAATAGCACAAGAAAAATTATGATACCTAGCATTGCTTTCACTATTGCAATAACAGAAATGTTTGCAAGTCATGACAGACCTGTTCTCCATACTTCTCACCAAACATTGCAATTGCACCAGCTCTTTTGGCCTCTGCCAAGGGCATGACCATAGTTTGAAGATCAGTAGCATCTCCAATCCAATTGTTTATCAAGTTTTCAATTTCCAGAACTTCATGCTCTAAGAGTGGCCGATGAAAGTTGAAATCAAAGCGAAGCCGGTCAAAAGCCACCAATGAACCAGCTTGTGATGTCTCTGAGCCAATGACATTTTTAAGAGCTGCTTGTAGCAGATGTGTTGCAGTATGGTGAACCTGAATTTGGATAGTTGCTTGATATAAGAAAACTAGTAAAAATTGTGGTAAAGAAGAAATAGGCAATAAAGGGCAAAAACAGAATTAGGTGGACTCATCAATCCATCATAAAATATTTTTAAGTAAAATTCACTCGCATGATACATAAATTTTATGACACCAAATCAATGAAGAATATAGCCCTTATGAAACTGGCTCATTATAAGACTCATGTGAAGGTTTATTTGGCACCTAATTGAAAATCCATGGGAATTGTGTCATGCGTTTGGTTGCTCACCAAGTGAGAAAAAACCATGACTCAGGATTCGCACCTCCTAGGGCCTCATGTAGATGTTTCCTCACTCGAAAGAGGCGAACAGCTAGATTAGTAGGTCCATGATCTAGGCTTAGAAAGCAAGCAGTCAGAAGATATCTCTTTTTCCGCACGTAACCTCTTGCTAGCAGAGGATTTCCATCTTCACCAATGTATGTAAGAATGAAGAATGCTTTACTTGAGATGTGAGATTCTTGGGTTTTTCTTTCTTCTTCTCTGTGCATTGGTGTTCTTGGGAATGGGAAAATGTAATAAGTGCTCTTTATTTTACACACCACAACTATGGCTCTTATTAGTAGATTGGAGCCTCTCAATCTACAATGAATGTAGATTGGATGAAACCAAGCCACATAAACCTCAGTGCCTTATATGATGTGGTTCTCTCTCTTTTGTGCTCTGTGGGCTCCGAAAATTCGCGCCCCAGGCTCTCTGCGGACTCCTTTTTTCTTTTTCGGGTCATCGAGGAGAGTTTTAACAAGTAGGTTCAGGGGAAAATTTTCAAAAGACAGATTGGGAATTGAATTAGACACTACCCAGAGATTTCTTCCTCATTTTGCGAGGACATTATGATCGGAGTTCAAGTTTCATATAGGCGCAAGCCCCTATAGTTAATTATCCCTCTCAATAATGAGAGAGAACTTTCAATTACGGCAAGTCGTCAAACAGATACGTAGAGATGCATGGTATCTAATGTATAGTAGCAAAATGGGTTTAGTTTTTGAGACATGATATTTAAAATTAAAAATTTCACCATCTTGCACTTAAAGTGGATGGTGGGGGAAGTGATGATGAGCCCGATCAAGATCCCATAGTTCCATCATCCCGAGCCATCATGGTCTCTAGTCTACTTAGTTAGAGGAGGTGGTCGACCCAACCTGACAGAAGGATCATTGTCGTTAGCCATGGGTTGTTTCGTCCAAGAGTATAGACATGGGATGAATATTTGTCTAAGAGAACAAATTTGAATCCACCTTAGCTAACATATGGCTTTATATCATATCGATTATATCTTATTAATTCATTGTTCAATGATTTGAAGTTGTTGGGAAGCATACTGGCTCTGACCATGACCATAATATAATAGTGTCATTTAGCGGTAAAACCACCCGATCAAGGGATCCCGGTCATAACTGTTTATGCCTTTAAATGAGATTGTGACATAGGTCTTAAAGGAGATGATTGCTTGGTGAAAATTAGATTACAGTACAAGTCTTAAAGGAGATGGTTGTAGCACGTGAGGTGCTGGCACAAGCCTAGACGCAATAACAACTACAAAACCAACAAAGAGTTGTAAATCTTAAGGGAGGAAATAAGCATGTCACATTGCTTGGGAGAAGATGGACCAACAAGGTTGGTCTGTCAACCCCTCAATTCATCATCAGTAGTAGCGATGATGAGGCATCATGCACCACCAACTGGTCCTTTCACTATCTTATAGCCGCACAAGTCAAAGGCCCCACACAAGGCAAGCAATTTGTTGGATTGCCTCGACTAATCCAACCCTGTCTGGGTTAATCTACCATGAATCGGTTGTTTGGGGACTTTTAGTTGTTAGAATTGGACAATTTTTTTGTGTCATTGGTTCATTAGCAGAATCTTTTCGCAAAAATTTTGCAATGTGTTGAGTTTTTTTGCCACCCCCCCTTAAGGTTAAACTGAATATTGATTTGGCTTATTGAATTATTGCAGAATTTGTTCATCTTGTTAAAAATTGTGTTTAATGAGATATTTTTTTTATTAGTTACCCCATACTATTAGAAACATTGGCTATAAATGCAAAAATATTTTTTTGTTGTTTTGCATGTAAATGTTCTACAAATTAACAACCTAAAGAAATTATAAATGCAAAACCACTCTTTGGATGACAATATAGACCTCTCTTTGTGGCCATGAACCAAATTAGCTTCACCTATTTGTAATTCTTCTTATCATCTGAATGTAACATCCTTGATTAAATAACTTGTTAAAGATGTTTCTTGATCAGGAGCCACCAAACTTCAATAGTGCATGACAGCATGAGATGAGGTCAGAGTCGTATGAAGTGGTGAACGAGTTGAACAATGACATAAGGAGAAAGGCGTCCATGCCAATTGAAGAATAAAGCGATAGCATGTGAAGATATAGGTGGTGATGATAATGCCTATTGAAGAGCAAGTGATTAAGTCATATATTGAAAATGGGAGATGACATCTATCTCATCACAGAAGTAAATGACAAAGCCAGTAGTATATGCGACATAACCACTTAGATTGTTGATGTTGTATGACATGATGGCTAATGACACATCTTGAATTTTATGGATTTGTACAAATCAATATTTTTTTTAAAAAAAAATTTGTGAGTTGTTTAAATGTATCAAACTAATAATTTTCCCCTCATAAAAGACTCCGCTTATGCCCCAAATGATATTATTTATTTTTTTATTCTTTGTTATGAACTAGTTCTAGATTGGTTTGTCCAGCTTATAGAAGAATGCCTACTGTTTAGAACAATTTTTTCAAAGCTTTTTAAAAGTCAAAATTTTGTTTGATTGTACCTTTGTTGCAGCTTTTCAAAATTTATATGAGAAGCAATTTTTAACAACAAACATACATCAATTTAAAAAACAAAAATCATAGCAATTCTTCAGCTACTTTTATGTATACCTGCAATCACTCCAAATAAACCATAAATCTCAAATATCTCAAGTGATCTAGTATGCGTTGGAAGCTAACTAGAAAATACATAAAATTGGTCAAGTTTAGACAAGTGGTTGAACTATGGTGAATTTATAATGAAGTTCTTTGTCAAAGCATTGTTTAAAAAAAAAAAGGCATCAACTTCAACTATCATTAAAAAGAGTGTATGATTGGGCGCCTATTATAGGCTGATTTGAAGCCTCACTTGTCCTAGAATAGTTCCTTGCTTACGAACATGAAAGTGATGCAATGTCGACAAATTAAGAATAGTAAGTTCACTCCAAACTTATTAGACCTATGCATGGTTGTGATCTAATGTATTCTCCTTACGAAGTCACAAAACCTTGTCTATGATTTGTGAATCAACCAAATATTTTGGCCAACCACTAGGAGACTAGGACCATCAGTTAGATACCTCGATAATCATAGTCCGCTACAGAGAAGGTAGAATTGAATCCGTCAATAATTTTGAATGCCAAGGACTTTGACTTTCACAAGATTGTTGGCCAAATATATACTTGGTAATTATAATCCAATGTAAAAGAAATTGAATTGAACTCACCATGAATTTTGACTATTATCTAAGATCAATGTCAGAATGTTATTCAATAAATGTAATCAAATTATCAGTGGGCTAACTAGAAGTGTAAGTTAGCCAAGCGGGCTCGTGAGCTAGTTCGAGCTCAACTCAACAATGAGCTCGCGAGAAGTTCGAGCTCATCTATTAAAGGAGCTCAAGTTCAAACTTGAAGAGGCTCATAAGCTGGCTTGTAAAGATATACTTGTTCATGTCTTTTTCTTATGATAAACCTTCAAGCATTAATTTTTTTAGGAAAATCTAGCACTAATTAACTGCATATGGAAAGTAATAAAGGCTATAGTTTTTACTAAAAAAATTGCAACCCACATTCCAAAAAAAAAAGAACTTCAGCAACTCACAACTTTTTATTACCCAAAAAAACACGTCTCTTCTTATCTATGTGTGTACGCCTCTTCTTCTTCTCTCATTTGTAGCACCTCACACCTCTTCTTCTTCTCTGGCTGCAACACCTCATGCCTTCTTCCTCTCTAGCAACATTCAAGTCAACACCTATTATTTTTCATGACCTCACGAGCTGGCTCTTTAACTCACATATATTACCATGAGCCAAGATCAAGCTCAAGTTCAAGTTCGAGCATGTGATTTGGCCGGCAAGCTGACCACAAGTAAGGCATGACTCAAGCTCGGCTCGACTCGTTCACACTCTTAAGGCTAATCCAACACCTCACCAAAAAGTACCTAAGTTGGGCACCAAAAATCTCTTAAGATTGGTTAACCAAACATAGCACCTTGTAGACCTCAACATGAGGCATCCAAAACGGATAGCAAATTTAAATTATGAAGAACAAGTTACAACAATAATAACAACATCAAGCCTCTATCCCACTACGTGGGGTAAGCTACGTGATTTTTTTTTTTTCATTATGTACTGTTAAGAGTCAAATTCTCATTAAACTGATAAAGAAATGAACAACAAATTTACAAGAAGAATCATCGCTCAAATTTTGGGCTGTCAAAAAATGATGATGATAACTCCACACTTTTATATCAAAAAAAAAATTGCATAATCGACAGCAATCATACAACCTGAAATGGAGTTTTGTGGAGGGAATTGAAAACTTGTCAGAAGAATAACATAGTTATGGACATGTCTCAATGCTATCAACTAGAGTCAACACACTACTCGCAAGGGGGCTTACTCAAGAGGCTGGTTCACCCATCCACCCTTATGAAGACCGCATGCAAGGAAGGCAACCAACCTGGCTAGGCTAGTTAGCTTGGGTCGACTTGCCTCAAACCAATTTGAGGAATTTTGACCATTAGAATTGGGAAATATAACTGTCAGTAGGTTTTGCTCATCGAGTCAGATCATCTAACCAAGATTATATGATGCTCCAAGCTTTGTTTGGCATCATATTTTATTTTTTAATAAAATAAGCATCAATTGGGAGATTTTGAATTGTCTTAGAATTCATGTATTGCATAAAAAATGTGCCTTGAGAGGGATTTTTACGATTTTGATAAAACTAGATGGCAGACCTAAAGTATCTTAATAGCATGGTTAGGTCCATTATATTCAATTTAAATGGAGCGCCACGTTCATCAATTGATTTCAATCTGAGACTGAGACCAAAAAAAAATCACTAACAGTTGGTTTTATTCACAAATGGGTTGGGGGATGAAAATTCAAATGAGTATCCCAAAGTCATTAGTCACATGCCAAGGGATAGTAATACACTCCTGTATATGGGGAGGTTATGTAGTGTGAATTGATTGGATGGTTTGGGATATTCATATGAAGATATATAATAGGTGGGTCATGGAATGGCAGATTTAAATAAAATAAATTAGACAAAAAATTATCTGCATTTAGCTAGATACAAACAAGCACAATCTACAAAAAAAATTAGCACTTGGACGTGGTCAAGAGTAAGTTGAAGTGAACAAAACCGGAAATGAAGCATAGAAGAAAATCACAGAGCTAGAAGACTCAGAAAACAGATTACTTTGTAAACTAACTGGTTACCAGAATTTGTTCCCAACCTGATATGATTTAGTATAGTAATAAATGCAGATCCAAACATCAAAAAGTGAGGCATTCTGAATAAAAAAGTAAATTTTTTAAGTAGAACTCATACTCTAGCCCTTTTCCTCAAGTTTGCATCAACTGCAGCATCCACTACAGAGCCAATCTCAACTGTACCTTCTTTTATAGTCCCTTTATGAACGAAAATGCCCCCAGGGGCCTTCTGAACATCCTTGATTTCCACAACTGTTTTCTTTCTGGCAACTGCATCTCTTGAGCAATACAAAAATCCATTGTCTCCAATTTGACCACCTGATTCAGCATAAAAAGGTGTCCTATTCAACACAATTTCTACATCAAAACCTTCAGAAACTTGTGCTACTGGGTTCCCATTCACTAAAAGACCTTTAACTACAGCACTTGCAAAAAGGGTGCTGTATCCTAAAAATTCAGTATCAGGAATACTTTCAGATAATTCTGTTTCATTTGCAACAGTGAGCTTAACCACGTTATGAGCAGCCTGAGACTGGCGTCTTTGGTTTTCCATTTCAAGTTCAAAACCCTCCAAATCTATATTAACACCACGCTCTTCAGCAACTTCAGCTGTTATCTCTACTGGGAAACCATAAGTATCGTACAGAAGAAATACGTCTTTTCCAGATAATAAAGGTCCATCTCCATTAGTACCACCACTTGATAAAGCATTCTCCAGAAATTGGTCCAGTAACTTTTCTCCTCTCTCCAGAGTCTGCAGAAATCGTATCTCTTCCCGTTTCAACTCTTCAAGAATTCGTGGCATCCTTGTCTTCACATCCGGATCAATATTTGTGCAAAGTTCAATTACCGTCCTAGCTAGTAGTGGTAAAAATGCGCCTTCAATGTTCCCTTCCACATCACCTTTTATACCAAGCAACTTGCCAGTTCGAACAACCCTTCTAATCAATCTTCTAACAACATAGCCTCTTCCAACGTTTGAAGGCACAACCCCATCTGATATGAGATAAACAACAGCACGCATATGATCTCCAATAATCTGGCGAAAAATAAGAAAGCTAAACAGAAAGGCTAATAGTATCATCAATAACTTCGTAAACGAACTAAATGTAGGGTAAACCAATTCAATAATATATTATGGTAAAGAGATAGTTTCCCTCCTTAACGCATACTTTGAAATTAGCCTTCGTAGCATCATCTGCATTGGCATAGGAAATCATGGCCAAGTTTGACGCCTTCTCTATGATTGGGAAAATCAGATCAGTCTCATAGTTGTTGGGAACCTGCAATAGGATACAGCAATAGATGATTCATGAACATGCAGGAAAATATGCATGCAAAAGAAGATTAAATGAATTGGTTCTGTCCATTCAAGTGAAAGATTTCATAGATATCCGAATCATCTCCTACCATACCAGAAAGCAAAAAAAGGTAAATAGGCACATTTCTACCAATAGGTATCTGTGGCAACTTATAAATACAAGAAGATAGAATTTATCATTTGGGCTATCTGGATGAGACTACTAGCAATCCCAACCATCAAGTGGATGCTATTATAGTGGTCTAATAGGAAGTGGATGCAACTTCAGCAAAATCAGAGAACGACACAAGAAATCTAGAAAGGAGAATACGCAATAACTCTTTTTTATTGAAATAACTGAGACGAAAAATACAAGATATCGTTGGATCTTCAATTGGAGAGGAAGATCCGGCTCTCCCAAATCCCTAGCCATTGGCCAGAGCCCACTCAACCTAAGCAAAACTAATTCCAGCAAAATCAAACATGATCTGAAATCACCCCATAGTTAGCCTTAAATAGGCTCCCCTAATTCCATCCCAAATCAGTCCCCTTTCCCTATATAATTCTTGCTCAAATTTGAATTTAAATTAGATCTGTTTCATAATTAATTCCCTCCCAATTATAGTTAAAAATTTTCTAAACAATTCCTCATTAATTCCTTCTTACATAATGAATATTAACTCCCTTAGACTTTCCCTAAATAATTCCCTCACAGATTTAAATTTAAATTAGATTTCTTTCCCTAATTAATTTCTTCCCAATTTTAATTTAAACTTTCATAAACAATTCCCTTTCTCTTCTTGCCCGCCGACCACCCTAATGGGGCCCACCGACTCAGCCACCGGCCCATTAATGCTCCCCTCCCAAAAAGCCACCTTGCCCGGAAGGTGGAACGAAGGAGATTGTTGTTGAAGCAGTGGACAAAAAAATGGACTGACACAAGGTTGACCGTGTCATATCCTGACCCAGACCGGTTCGATCCGAGATTTCTCCCGCCATGCAAGACGACTGACCCTCCTCCCGCTCCTCCTTTGTCCGAATCGCGAACGAACTGCCCTTGCCCTTTGTCTCTCCCTCCAAATTGTGATTTATTCCCATATTTGACAAAATCTTCCGCCTTGTTGCCACTCTCTCACCACTTAAGACGAATTGGAATCTATGGCATCATTTTTCTCCTCTTCTCTCCCTAATAGCAGGCACCGAAGGTCCTCCTCATCCCTCTCGCAGCTGTTGTTTGATTAATCGACAAAATCACTAAGCATCTTCTTCACAATCTTCTCTTTCTCCTTCAATAGTAAGCTTCTTCATCTTCTCTGCTCTCCTTCCTTTCTTTTATTGTCTTCTTTGTGTTTATCAAGTTGTAAAGTCATGTTTCCTTCCTTCATTTAGTTAGTTTTTGGTCTAGTGGAGACTTGATTTTCTTTTTTTTATTAGTTTAGATTGCTTTAGGAAGAAGCTTTATGCTTGTTGATGTTCGATTTGACCAAACCCCAGGTTATTTACATATTTTTAGATTGTATTATTTCATAATTAATTTTGATGTTTATGGTGTGGCTAAGATTGATTGGAATATCCTTAATTATGCCTCTCGCAGCTGTTGTTTGATTAATCGACAAAATCACTAAGCATCTTCTTCACAATCATCTCTTTCTCCTTCATTAGTAAGCTTCTTCATCTTCTCTGCTCTCCATCCTTTCTTTTATTGTCTTCTTTGTGTTTATCAAGTTGTAAAGTCATATTTCCTTCCTTCATTTAGTTAGTTTTTTGTTTAGTGGAGACTTGATTTCATTTTTTTTATTAGTTTAGATTGCTTTAGGAAGCAGCTTTATGCATGTTGATGTTCGATTTGACCAAACCCCAGGTTATTTACATATTTTTAGATTGTATTATTTCATAATTAATTTTGATGTTTATGGTGTGGCTAAGATTGATTGGAATATCCTTGATTATGCCTTGATAACGTGCTTAATGTTTTTTAGTTTTTCTACTTTTAAGATTCTCTCTAGGTGGAGACGAGCGAGCCACTTTCGAGTTTGGAGTTAGTAGTGACCACTGTAACTATTATTTATTTTGGTATAAGCGTGCCCTTTTTTGTTAGGGGCTTTATAATCTTATTGCTTTTGATAGGTTTTCGAATATTATGCTGTCAGTTCTATTCCCAACATTTATTATTATTGGGTTATGTCAAAAAACATATTTATGGCTCATATTGAAATCATCATGTTATAGAAATAGTATTATTTTGATTTGTTGATGCACGTGTTTTTAGTATTTAAAATGGTTCATGCTATAAAAGGTTAAATTCATATACATTAGTTATATTAAATGCAGTATATGTTTCTCATGTTGTAAATCATGTTTGTTATATAAATTTTAATTGTTATGTTGAATTTTATAATACTTGTTGATTATTTGAAACAGCACTTGCACTATTTGATTATGTGTATGTCGGTATAACCCTATTAACTTTTGGCTAGTCGGGGTTGATAGACCCCAAGAGTGACGACTCTACAAGAAATCACTAGATTTCATTGGGTTGGTGTTTACCTTCCGGTATGGGTATATGATAAACTGACAATAGATATATGTATATTTAAATGCATAAAAATATAAGCAATATGAATTGGAAGTAATAAATGATTGATAGGTTATTTGGAGGTATAACTATACCTAGTGTAATGCAGTTGTAAACTTTGAAGTGATTTAGCATATCTAATTGGCATATATTCATACGATTAGAATATGTTGTAGAAAACATAACATATCTCATGGTAGCTTTTGATATAGTGATTATAGGTTAATACTCCCCTTTTTTGGTTTTTCATACTGCATGTCCTATTTCTTTGTCGTTTATGCTTTAATAGATAGTATTTACTAGCTAAGTTTGATTTATCAAACTCATCAGTTATCTTTTTTAGCAGGTTCAGGCGTGTTTGGCGGACCGCCACCTCAGGAACAGGGTTACCATCAGTAAAATATCTTTGATATTTATTATTTTGTAGTAGTTTATTATGTTTATGTTTTCTAGGGTTGTGTAAATTTCTTTCCTGCATTTGATATATTTACTTTTCTATTTGCTTGTATCAGAACTATTGTCATTTGAATGAATTGGTTACTTGACTTCTAGTAAAGGATTGGATTTATTTCACTTCCTTTGTTTACTCTGATGCATATATATACACTTTTGTATATCTCGTATATGCATGTTCTATTTGTGAATACATAACAGGTTTTCTTATCCCTTAATCACATTCTGTGTTGTCAGGTGTAACGTCTCGGGGGGTGACAGAAAGATCTCTGCCTCGAGCATCATCCTGATCAATCTCTCAATCTCTTCGTTTTGGATTTGAAGATGACGGTACATTCGAACACTGATAGGTAAGACTCCTTCCTTTAATATGCTAGCATGCTCACACCCCTGGAGACTGATATAGAGGTGGTTGAACCTTGTCTAGTGCTTCTATCTTCTCCACATTTTTTTCTCCTTCCAAACACTGCAGCTCCACCAAAAATTTCACTCCTTCACTCTTTCCCCTCCTTGGAAGTAGCTCCAAAGGCGACATCTCCTCTTCCTGCCCCAACATTTCTACCTCTTGATCTTCCGCTCTCCATATCAGATTAAGGTTTCCTCTACTCCCTTGGCCGGCGGCAGCTCCCCCGGCCTCCGACAATGCAATTTTGGTTTGGAACTCGAGCGTCTTTCTCATCATGTCATGGAAAACTTCTTATCAATCTTCTCATGGATGGCTAAAATTTGCTTTTGAATTTTGAAATCTTTTTTGTAAAATCATATTTTAATTTTTTAATCTCCCCGTCCAATACTTCTACATTTCTTTTTGCAATGCGTACCCTGATATATGCTTTGATACCAATTTGATAGGAAGTGCTTGTAAAAATCCAATCTCTCTTAGCTGAAATTAAATTACATAAATCCCAATCACAATCTCCAAGAGGAATTAAGAGCAATAATAAGAGAAAACTCTTTTTAATTGATGATATACGAAAGATAATAACAAGATACAATGAATCTTCTATTGGAGAAGAAGATCTGGCACTCTCCAAATCCCTAGCCACCAGCTCTGATACTAATTTGATAGGAAGTGGATGCAATTTCAGCAAAATCAGAGAACGACACAAGAAATTTAGGCAGAAAAATACACAATAACTCTTTTTTTGTGGGCTCCGAAAATTCGGCCCCTGCCTCCGCTCGCTCTTCTTATTCAGCGAGGGAGTTTTAACGAACTAAGTTCCGAGGTAAATTTTGGAAGGTAGATGGGTTTGTAGATAAGACACTACCCAGAGATTTCGCCCTCATTTTGTGAGGACTTTATGGTTAACATTTTTATTGAAATAACTAAGAAGAAAAACATAAGATACAGTTGGATCTTCAATTGGAGAGAAAGATCATGCTCTTCAAAATCCCTAGCCGTCGATCAGAGCACACTCAACCTAAGCAAAACTAATTCGAGCAAAATCAAACATGATCTGAAATTACCCCATAGATAGCCTTAAATAGACTCCCCTAATTTCCTCCCAAATCAGTCCCCTTTCCCTAAATAATTTTTGCACAAATTTGAATTCAAATTAGATCTATTTCCTTAATTAATTCACTCTCAATTGTAATTAAAACTTTCCTAAACAATTCCCCATTGATTCTTCCTTACATAATGAATATTAAGTCCCCTGGGCTTTCCCTAAATAATTCTCTCTTAGATTTGAATTCAAATTAATTCTTTTCCCTAGTTAATTCCATCTCAATTATAATTAAAACGTTCCGAAACAATTCCACCTCTCTCTTCTTGATCATCTCCCATCCTAGTGGGGCCCACCGACTCAACCGTCGGTCTATCATAGTCCACCATTTCATATTACAAAAGGCCAAACCCTCCTCTCATTTAAGTTGTAAAGGGTAAGAAAAATCTGGCATTACAATACCTATTCTTATTTGTGAAAAACCATCTGCTTACAATCCAAGAGTGATTTAGAGCAAGCACCCTACTATAGACTTCAGATTATTTACTTCTGACATTGATTTATGAGGCATCTTTGTATCATGCCTTAAATGCATATGTTGATTCTTATGGGTGTACTCATCATGTTTTAGTATCAGGATCTAAATGTGATTTAAGTGTTCTTTAAGGTTTTTATAAATAGTAGGAAATGGCTAAAAAAATATCCTCAAGATTATTAAGGTTAAGATTTTATGATGAATGTAAATATAAGTTTGAGGGGGACTTTTCTATCACACAACAAACCCGATGCATTCCTCCACTTCAACCATCCAACTTGAATTCTAATAATAATATCCCCATCTATTTCACCATCACTCTAAACAATAGATCTAAGATATCTAAAATGTGTATTCTTATTAATGACTTGATCACCCAATAGAATTTCCTTCTTTTATTTAGATAAAAATTGAATTCAAAAGCATATCATATTACACATAGAACTTGGAAACATGATAATTCCCATTGGTATTTCTTTTGGTGGGGGGGGGGGGGGGGCCGCGGGAATAATGGGGGAGTGAGTAGTGTTTTCCCTACATATGGAAAATTCGTCCAACTAATTTCATCAATTTGCAAATTTTCCCCCAGATAATAAAAGAATGAAATTGGCTGGTGGGAGTCAACCCAACCTTCCAAGTATTCGGACTATAACAGTTTTGATGAATAGTATTTCACTTTTGATAGCTACTCAATTCCAAAAGATGATTTAGAATTAGTTTAATCATGTTTAATAGCAATGAACAATAGAGTGTTTGTACCAGCCAAATTTCACTCCATATAGCTTTCTCGTATTAAACTAATTCTATTGATTTCTACACTTATCATGCTAAATTCTATGAACAAATGTTTAATCAAGTGCCAAGAGATTAAATGGGGTGTAATATAACCTTCTGAAGAACTTGTGCCATGCGCTCCAGTCCCATTCCAGTATCTATATTCTTCTGTTTTAACAGTTCAAGCGATCCATCATCCTTCTTGTTATATTGCATGAAAACCAGATTGTATAACTCTATAAACCTGCTACCATCTCCAAAATCCTAAAAAGTAAAACACATAATTTGAAATCAGATCAAACCATTTGCTTGAAAAAATATACAATAATTATATATATATATATATATATATATATATATATATATATATATATATATATATATATATTTATTATATATATATATATATATATATATATATATATAATAAATATATATATATATATATATATATATATATTAAACATCAATAAATCTGGAAAAATACATACAGCATCTACATATCCTCTATCAGGATGGAAATCATAATAAATTTCAGAGCAAGGACCACAGGGTCCAGTTACCCCACTCGTCCAGAAGTTGTCATCTTCACCCATCCTCTTGATGCGCTCTTTGGGAACACCAACCTTTAAGGAGAAATCATGTCTAAAATCATCCACTTGAAAATGTAACAATAAGGAAAAAGAGATCACAGGGAGGAATATTGAGATATGCATATTCAATGAAAAAAAAAATGGTCTAGCCTTTAATTTCAAATTTATCATCTTGTTAGGATTTTGAGGTGGAGAAAGAGAACATAAAAAAGCAAGAGGAATATTGAGATATGCATTTTAACAAGAAAATTAAAAATTTAGAGTAAATGAAATATGAAATATTAAAATATCATTCAAATATTCATTTGTTCAAATAAGAGAAAATTTTATGTTTAAGTCGAAAATTCTTAAATTAAGAAATTTTATTTTATAAAAAATAAACAGAAATTTGTAAAATATAAGGTAAACTTATTTTAAATGGAAGAAATATATATAAAGGGAGCAAAATCAATTATGTATAAAAAAGATTAGTTAAGATTTTAATTAACATCAAGCCTTTTGTCCCACTACGTGGGTTGGCTACATGAATCCTATTTCTCCATTGTGTCCTGTTAAAAGTCAAATTCTTGTTTAAATCTAATAAAGAGAGATCATTTCTAATATTTTTAACCAAGTCTTTTTAGGTCTACCTCTACCTTTCTTAATATAAGTTAAATCTAATGCCTCTACTTTCCTAACCGGGTTATCGGAAGGCCGTCGTTTTATGTGACCAAACCATCTAAGGCAACTCTTTCTAATCTTATCTTCCACTGGAGCAACTCCAATATTTTCACGTATATGCTCATTTTGTATCTTGTCTTTAAGGGTAAAGCCACTCATCCACCTGAGCATCCTCATCTCTGCAACACTTAACTTGGTACTATGCTTCTTTTTTAATGGCCAACATTCAGCACCATAGAGCATTGTAGGTCTCACCACCATCTTATAGAATTTTCCCTTAAGTTTGAGGAAGACTTTTATATCACACAACAAGCCCAATGCATTCCTCCACTTCAACCATCCAAGTTGAATTCTACTGATAATATCCTCATCTATTTCACCATCACTCTGAACAATAGATCCAGGATACCTAAAACGTGTACTCTTATTAATGACTTGATCGCCCAAAGTCACAATCCCCTCACTAAGTCCATTACTACTAAAATTATACTCCATATATTTTGTTTTAGATCTACTCAAGCGAAAACCTTTAAACTCTAAGGTTGACCTCCATAACTCGAGTTTACCTTCAACTCCCTCTCTAGTCTTATCAACAAGAAGAATATCATCAGCAAAAAGCATACACCAAGGTACATCCTCTTGCAAATGTCAAGTGAGAGCGTACATGACTAAAGCAAAAAGATATGGGCTTAAGGTCGATCCTTAATGTAATCCAACTGAAATAGGAAAATACTTGGTCAAACCACCTTGTGTTTGGACACAAGTAATAGCTCATGCATACATATCTTTAATGATTTGAATATAAGCATTATTAACTCATTTCTTTTCAAGAACTTTCCATAGCACTTCTCTTGGAACTTTATCATATGTTTTCTCTAAATCAATAAATATCATATATAGATCCTCCTTATTATCTCTATGTTTCTCTATCAAACCTCTCAATAAATGTATGACATCCATAGTAGACCTACCCAGCATGAATCCAAATTAATTTTGAGAAACATTAGTATCACGCTGCAACCTATGCTACATAACTCGCTCCCATAGTTTAAAAGTATGACACATTAACTTAATTCCTCTATAATTCGTACAATCTTGTGCATCACATTTATTCTTAAAAATATGAATCAACACACTCATTCTCCACTCATTTGACATTTTTTTAGTTTCAAATAGTATTAAAAAGTTTAGTAAGCCAAGAAATTCTTTCATCTCCTAAGTATTTCCACACTTTTATTGGAATATCATTAGGTCCAACAGCTTTTCCACACTTCATATTCTTGAAAACCTTTCTAACTTTGGTTTTACTAATACACCAATAAAAATAAAAATCTTTATTTTCATTTAGGGTACTAAGGTCACTAAAGTCAATCGTATTCTCACAATATTCATTAAAAAATTTAGCAAAATATCTTATCCACCTTTGTTGAATATCATCTTCTAAGAAAAGTATTTTTTGATCTTCATCCTTAATACACTTCACTTGAACTAAATACTTTCTATTCCTATCTTTTTGTTTGGCTAACTTATACATATATCTTTCGTGCTTCTTTATATCTTTCTCAATTATCAATATTTTTACATCTAAACTAATTTTTATAATAAATTTTCTTATATTTTATCTTTTCTTACACATTTGGATTCCACCACCAACTATTTTTACTATCAAGAGCTTTTTCCTTTGATACTTTAAGCACATCTTTTGCAATCATATTAATATCACTAGCCACTTTTTCCCACATAACATTAGCATTCTCATACACAGACAAAATCTTAAGATCTAAAATCTTACTCTCAAAAATATTTTTGGTAATATTCTTTAAATATCCCATCTAATTTTAGAATATCGTTTTACTTTATTTTTTATTTTCTGTCATTTCATCTTAAAGTCTGAAACTAGTAATCGATCTTGGATATATAAACTTTCACTTGGAATAACTTTATAATCTTTGCAATCTAAAGGAACTAATTTTCTTAAAAGAAAATAATCAATCTGAGATAAACTATATTCATTCTTATAAGTAATAAGATGCTCATCTCTTTTCTTAAAAATGTTATTATCAATTAAAAAATCATAAGCTAAAGAAAAATCTAATATAGTCTTATCACCTTTATTAGTCATTCCAAACTCGTGGTCACCATGAATGATTTTAAAATCATCTACCACACTACCAAAATGTTCATTTAAATCTCCTCCTATAAAAACTTTCTTCAAGAGGTATCTTTTGTACTAGTTATTCTAATTCATTCTAAAATTTCAATTTTGAACACATATCCAAATCTACTTGAGAAGCATAAGCACTTATATTATTAATAATCTTAACATCAACAACAATCTTTAAAGCTATAATTCTATCTTCAATTCTATTAATTTTAATGACATTATCCTTCAAACTCTTATCTATAATCACACCTACACCCTTTTTAATATGACTCTTATCCGAATACCATACTTTAAATCCTAAACTATCAATTCCTTAGCCTTCTCTCCAACCAAAATATTCATTTAATATAGTTGGGGATTATTTTGATCTTTTATAAAAAGTCAATGGAACATTTTAATCCTTTTCTCAATTATATAAGTATCAAACTAATGACAACAGAGTAAGGATTAAAGTGAATCACTGAGTATTCATGTTTTTAATTTATAGTAGTGATGTTGCTTCTTCTAAATCAAATGCATCAATCGTTATTGATATTCATTAATCAACTATTACTGCAAACTCAATTTTGATTTAATTATGTTATGAAAAAACTTAAGCATGTTGAAATGAATGATAGTTTTTATTTGCATTTAATTGTTTATCATATATCATTTAATGTTACTATAAAAGATATGGAATGCTATGGATATTGTAAAAGAAATGACTCATATGGGTATATTTACATGTGCATGTTTGATTGATGGAGTTCACCCATTTAAAGTATTGCCTTCAATATGTTGCAGAAAATCTAAATAAATTAATTATTGATTATGGGATATAATAATATACATCTAGATTATAAAAATAAGTCACATTTTTTATCAACAACTTCAGTCTGAATTTCTACTTCATGGATAACTCCACTCTACATGAGTTTAATACTTTTGCTATCTCAGGCATTCTAACCATATAAACTGTATTGCGCTATATTACTGTTTAAGAGACAACATTGCCTCATGAGGCTCTAATTAAGTTCATTATGAAGACTATTGTTGATGGACTCTATAAAAGAACTATATATTCAGGGAAATAGCTATTACAAAAGCTTTGTTTTCTTCACCATAATTTCATTACTTTGAGAAGCTAGAACTAGAACCTCCATAGTAATTCTGTTAAAGAGTGTTTTTCTACCCAGAGGTAACACTGATATTTCTTTGGGCTAAAAACATTCTAATACCAGAGGCTTACCGAAGCTTAGAGTGTCTCCACGGCTTCAATTTCATGATGAAAGTTTGAGCTGCTAATGAAGATGCACCTCAGTATAATCTATTGAGTGGGATCAAAAGATTGAGTCGGTATTTTTCCAATGTAGAGATGACTGATATGTACATGAGATGGTTGGAAGAAACCATTTTTTTATCTGCGTACCAATGTTGTGCTTCACTCAACTTATGAAGTTTTGGTTCCAATGGGAATCTCCTTTGTCAACTAAATCTTCTTGAAAATCTAGAGTTATCTTCAGTCCGTTTCAAGTATTCATGAAACTTATAGTACACTTTCTCCAGAGACGAGTGATTTTTTCTCCTAATATTTTTGTGGTAAGATTTTGTTTGGTTTGATGCTCATGCTAAAAGTACGTACCAGGAGAACAAATACAAGGTTGTGCAAGTGCTCGATATAACCTTTATTTTTGGAATCTTTATTTGACCGTATTAGTTATATTTGTGCTAGCAGTCCATTGATCATAATTAGAAGATAGCTAACTAGACAGGTATGAAATTTGTAAATAACTTGTAAAATAATTAGAATGGATGATTTACCTCTGTATGCCATATGTTGAAGGCGTCATCATCATCTTCAAAAATACTAACCCACAATCTCTCCGAAGGCAAACCAAACCTATATTTGAAGAACCAGAATAGTACAAAAGATAAATTATTACAAATAACGATTGAAGCTATTTTATTGAAATTTTCAAGCATTACCAATATAGCATATATGGCTGCAATACAAGCAGAATAAATTGAATCTAAAAGCTGGTAGTAAATAGGCAAATGGTCCTCAACAAGACTCGTGAAAATATGGAAAATTAAATTAAAGTTGTATGCATACTCTTTAGTTGTAAGTTCCCAAGCCCAAACAATTGCCTCTTTTTTGAAGTAGTCACCAAAGCTGAAATTACCAAGCATCTCAAAAAAGGTATGGTGACGAGCAGTCCGGCCAACATTTTCAATGTCATTTGTACGTATGCATCTTTGAGCAGTTGTGGCGCATGGTACTGGCCTAGGTTCCTTTTATTTAAATATACGCAGTGAGAAAACAATATTTACAAATCCTCTTCCTGATTTATAATTTTAACAACAAGATTGTGCATCAAGCATTTCAAACTTTAACTGGTAAGGTTACAAGATTCCAACTCTTAATTTCTGAGCAACAACCGATCTATCATCATGTTTTATTTGAAATAGCATATTTGCATGCAGAAAACAGTAATTAATCTACAGTAAAATGATCAAACTTAGTATTTAGCATAACCTATCAAGAGAATTGACAGGTATTGGTGAAATTTAGAGATATAAAATGAATTAAATTTTTATCAACTCCTAACTTCATATTGGAGCTGACAATTGCATTGTATGCTTGAACTTTAACAACAAATCCAAGCGTATCTATGACCTCATCAAGTAATTTAGATAGTTTTCAAGCTTCACGTGAAGAATTAACTTTAAATTGTTAACATTCCTGGAAATATACATTTAGAAGCTTTTGTGTCATAATCTTGCATAGATAGTGGCAGTTCCTAGCCACTACAGCAACGTCCTGTTTGATTAAAAAATTGTTATAATCCATAACTAAATATGTTTGTCCTCAATATTATTTATATTTCTTATTTAGGCTAGATCAACACATCGAAGTAGCTATTCAGACAAAATATTTAAAAAGCATAAATTACACAGTTGTCCCAAGGTATGAACCTGCTTGCATTAGACTGTTCTTTTTTAAATTCTTAATTTTGTTTCCCAAGATCTAAAACACGCTTCTTTGATCTTTCTGGCAATAGAATCACTAATAAAGAATAAAATACCCTACATAATTATAAAATCTTGTTGTGAAAAAGACAAATAACCTTGTTTTGGCTCCGAGCACTCTTTTACTTCCCTTTCCTCTCTTTCAATATCTGAAATTGAAATGGTGTCCAAGGCCATGAAGAAGCCGGCAGCAAAGGACAAAAAGACAGCGGAGAAGAAAATTGCTTGCTAAGGAGAAGCCCAACACAAAGAACATCTCTCAACTAAGAAGGGCCAGACCAAGACACCAAAAATGTTTGCTATTTATTTGTTAAGAAAAAGACCTTGGCTGAATATTGCTCGTAAGTTGTTACTTGTTAGAAATCCTAATACCCTTTTCTTAAACCCAAACCTACCTTTTTAGTCGGGATACTTTCATCAAAAAAAATTTGTGAACTTGAAATTCAGGAAAGAAAGTTATTCATATGAGTGAACTTAATATAAAAGTTAATGTTATTAATGGAAAAGGACATCTATCAAGAGCCAACTTCTGAATTAAAAAGAAGATCAACACCAAAATGGAAGTTTTTTTTAAATATGAAACTTTATTCCCAAGGACCTGTTAGGTATTTACCAATTAAAAATACTGTGTATTTATGCTTTCCAAGGTTTCATTGAGCATAACTAGTGAGATTCCCCGGGACATATAAACGTTATTGTTAACTTTGTGATTCCCTGAAACACAAATTAACAAAGAGCTCGAGAATAAAGAATAAACTGCAGGTAGAGTTAGAACAGAGGTTGAGAGGATAAATCCATTGTGTATAATTCTTCACCATAGTTCAGTAGTATAAGTTTATATATATAACAGTAGTAAAGAAGAAGATAAGATCAGATTATGATCTAGCCGTTAGAATGGTATCTTGCTGAACGGCTGGAATGGAAGCTGCTGACTTCTGCACATGGTGGCTGTGGAAGTTGCGGTAGTTGGCAGTGTCAGTAAGCAGAGGAAGTGGAGTATGTTTGGAATGTGAAGTATCATCATGAGTAGAACGGTTTGTGTCATAACCATTATAAGTTATGTTCCCATATTTTGTTTTCAGTGAAAGAAGTGGGCTCATTCTCCAAGTGTAAACATCAGTTCCAGAGGTCAAAATCAATCTTAAGCATGTGTATCCTAACCACGAAGGTGTGTATTACTATAAAATAGAAATTGCAGTAGAACATGATTTTTCTTTTCTTACTCACAAATATCTCAAAATGCACGAGGAATGAAGAATAGATCAACGATGAAAAAAAAATATCAGGCAAGTCAACAGACCTTCCCAAGGAATACAGGTTTAAACTGAAGCATTCCAGCTATGGTCAGCAAAACTGTGGGATCATCAGGGACAAGTGAAGAGCTTGGGATAATCTTATGGCCTCTTGAAGCATAAAATCTGAGGAAACGTTGACGTATTTCATCTCCGCTAACAACTTTATCTGTGGAACTAACTTCTAACTGGTCTTCATTTAATGGCTCTGCCTTTACTACAAAAAGGCAAATTTTAGAACACAATTTTAAGGAGAGATTCTTGAAACCTGAAATAGATATGAACCAGCTCAGTCTTTTAAAGTAGAGACTTGACTAAACCTGATGTGATTCTTGTTGCAACAGTCATCACATGTCGAGGTCTATCTTTGTGAAAATAATCTGAAGAAAATAAAGGCTTTCCAGCAAAGTGCATAGGCTCCATGAAGCTAACACCTACCAGAAGATATAAAATATCAAGCATAATTTATAAACATGGACAATTTCAAAAATAAATAAAGGAAATGATGTAAATATATAAAATAGATTAACTTCTTATAATGTGGTCACAAAAAAATTAGTATGAACGTTTATTAATATTGTTGAAATGATTTAATATAAATGGTCATTCACCTACAATGAAGGAGAAGGGAAAAATGTTGTAATGAGATGCCAAAATCAATCACAAAAGGTAGAGAACACAAGCTCACAAAGGCGCCAAAATTTTAGGTGATTTGACTTCAAGCAAAGTCAATGTCTATGGGAAAGAAAAGTCGATGAAATCCACCAAAGACACAAAAGTCACAAACGTGGTGATGTGATATACACCATGAAGGAAAACTCAGCCATCCTTCTCAAAACCAAGTATGTAAGTATATAAAAAGAAGAAGAATTTCGAACCTCGTATAAAAGATGATAAACTCTACAAAAGATAGTGAGCACAAAAAAAAAGCTAGTCAAAACCCTCCTTGATGATGCTAGCCAATGTTGTCATCATACATTCACCATCTCTAGAAAGAATTCAAACTTGAGAGATATGCACTCCAAGAAAATTAAGTCAAGATAGTATGCTCGCTTCTTCAGCCTCACACAAAATTCTAAGCCAAGAGGGAATTTCAGGGAAACCTCTAAAGTACTGCTTAAAACCCTAGAATATGAATATCTCCTTACTATAACCACATAGATAGATATCTTGTAAGAACCAGCTTACAAATTACTTGGAGATGCATGTTATATGGACAATGGCAGCGAGCTAGCATTGAGTGGGTTTCATTTTTGATTTGTGGCTCCCATGGGTCTAGAGGATTCTATCATGGTTCTTGAAAATTCAAGAGTGGTGATCCCCACATAATTGAGTAGGCAATTATTGTATGATACTTAGTAAAGTTTTCATTTGAGGAATGATGGTTGATGCATTGAATTCTCAAGTGAGGGGAAGATTGTTAAGCCACTTGATGTTTTGATTTAGTCACACATTGGATAATTGGTAAATATGTTTGTGCAAAAATAACAAGTAGTTCACTCCCACCTATATGCTTAAGTTTTGAGTTAAATATTGGTTTGACCACGTGTGTGTTTTATCCAATAGTGATCCCTTTTTTTATTCTTCCTTCCTAATATACAACATGCAATATCATTTTATGCCACCTGATGGATAAATATTTAAAACCTACTAAGCTTTACAATGGTTAATTAATATGATTTCATTTACAAGTAATCAAATGTGTAAAGCAAGGGTTTTTACTTGAGGTGTTCTTTGTCTCAAAACTAAAGTGTATATTATCAAAAACTAGGCAATAGGCAATCTAAACTTCACTACTAAACTGTTTAAATCCATGCGAAATATTGACAGGAAAAAAGAACATCAGACCCCTGAAATAGTTGGAATAAAACAAGCATCAAAACTGGTTTTCAAGCAAATCATGGAAGCCTTATGTACCTTCCATGCTACTCAGATCACATTCAACGACTTAACTCAGCCATGGATAGCCTAAGCCTCCACTACAACATCAACAAAGACAAGGGAGTGGTAGCACAAACGGATCAGCAAATGCTCTCTTAAGAATCAGAATCCACAGCAAAACACCTAATCAGATGCATAAGAAAAAAGTAACGCAATGTAGTAAAGTACCCCCAATACCGATTCGGTACACATCCTTCAAATATTTATTCTAAAATGTCATTAAAAATTTTCTAAATTCCGTAGTACCACAACATGGCTTACTATATAAGATCAAGGGAATACTTCTGCAAAATGAAGAAATGAATTCATAGCAACAAAAAATCTGACAGAGAAGCTGAATTCGAGCGAGATTGGGAAGAGAACTGAAGAGAAGAAAAGACGATAAAGGCATAATAAAAGCGGGTTGAACCTGAAGAAGCTGAAGGCCATCGAGTCCCAAGAGAGACTGGGATGAGAGGAAGAGGTCCCGAGCCATCGAGTAGCCTCAGTCCCGCCATTGCTGTGGCGGCTAAGAAATGAGATGACGATAAGAGATAAACGACAGAGGCCTTGCGCTGGTTATGGGGTTCGAGTTCATCATTTATCTGAAAGCAATCCTTTTTGTGTGGGCGCTGAATAGGGGATAGTGTGATAATGGCTAATAGCTGCTTTTGAACAATATTCTTTAGAGATATTTAAATATATACTATTTTATTTTATTTTATTTTCATATTTAATATTTCATATCTATCGTTTATTTATATTATTAGTCTCAAAGATATCAATCCTATCTTTTATAAATAACATCATAATTATCTTATAAATTTAATATTTCATTCGTTATACTCATATTTATTTTATAAGTGATAGACATGAAATATTAAAGTTTTAAGTGTTAGATATATAAATAATATGAAATAAAATGGTAGTATGTAAATTCTCCTTTTTTAGATAAATCAATTTATTTATAAAAATATTGAAATCCAACATTTAGTTATATTTTTAGATATTTTTATTTTTTTCAAAAATAAATAACACTATAGCTAATTTACAAGCACCACCAACATCCTTGCAGTTATCACTGTGATCACCACCATTGATCACCATCACGCGGTCACGCCCCATCAACCATCTCGCTGACATCACCATCCTGATCGTAGCTGCCGCCATTCTCACAACCACCACTACCACTACTATCATTCGCCGCCACAAATATCGCTAATTGCATACCACCACTAGTTACCAAAACCCTAACATTTTGTCGCATCAATTGATTTATGTGATATTCTATAAAAAAATAATATATATTTACTATATAAAATATTATTTTTTATTTCTAGACAATATATAAAAAATAAAAATAAAAATTTAGTCCAAAAAATCCCATAATTAAATAGCAGCAAATTTATACTCCAGGATAATTTTACAATACTGCATATTCATAGATCATATAAGATGCTATATAAATAGATAAATTTTTTATAAAAATTTAATATAAGACTCAATTTGATGTCAATGGATTCTAATCAATGGGAAATAGGGCTAGCAAGAGAGGTCTTTTGTAATATCCAATATTTTGACTTTATCAAATCTTTTTTATAGAGTGATTATAACTTCAAATCATAAATCATCTTTGTCATATAATTGATATTTTAGTATTTTACTTGAACGATTTTTTCGTTATTTTTGGGCCTGGTGAAAATGCTTAAGAAATTGACATCTATCGATATAAGTGGATATTTTTAACAGTCAAGTGTCCGTTTTTCAAACCAATTTTACTAATATTTTTTTACATAAATAATGTTGTAAGTGATAGATAAATAAATATGATAGTTTCAAGTATTATGTATATAATCCCATATCATCATTATTGTTATTCAAATACATACTTTAAATTTTAAACTTTTTTTTGGATAATTTTCTTGTTGCTTAAATCAACTTCATAGTTCAAAAAAATTTTGCATTAAAAAACTGATTTAGAAAATAGTAAGGAAGTTGTCCCAAACAAAATATCAGGCTATGTTTGAGACGTATTTCTTACTGCTTTTTAAAGCAATTTTCTAGCACAAAATTTTTTTATAATAAAAAAATATTTTATAAAACATTAATAAAGTTATTCCAAAGAAAGCCTTACTAGGATTTATGTAATCAACATAACATTCTAATTTTATACACATTTAATATCTAAGTTTTTAATATTATATATATATATATATAGTATGCATGTAATTTTCAAAATTAGAATTGAGTGATATACTGATATGCATGTAATTTTTTAATTTATTATATAATATTCAATTTTTTGTACCCGAAAGTAACTGTTCCGTAGCTTTCGCATTCATGTCCTGGAATTCCCGATCCATGGTCGCGCGTTATCAACCTGCTACAGATCTCTCAACAAAGACGAAGATGCTGTCAGTTTCACTTCTTATCTTCGGAAGAAATATCACAATCGGACTGGAATGGAGTGAGCAAAGCCTAATACAAAGGCAACCCTAAATCAAGAAGGATTGGCGATCACAAGCCCCAGATAAAGCCATGGCCGTTTCGCCATCTGCTCATCAGATATGGATCCTCTTGATTTTGTTTGGGTTGGGGTTCGCATGCGGGCCTGCGGAGGCCCTCAAGGTACCATTCCGAGCAAAAGATGCGCTCCCGATTCTCCCCCGCCAGATCTCCTGGTCGGTGATGAATACCTTCCACAGCGCTGTCGATCTGCTGCCTGCGTTTGTGGGGTCCGTCGTCCCTGAAGGGCACTCTATCACGTGGAAGGGGGCGTGCTTCTTAGAGAACGAGGCACGTCTCGAGCTGACGGATGACGATCGGGAGAATGGCCGTGGAGGAGGTGTTCTGTATATAAAGGCAAGCCATTATCTTCCGGTTTTCTCTTTGAGATATTGGAGATGATATAAACTTGGTTGAAGTTCGTTTGTTGTTGATGAAGAATCTCTTTTCTGATGCACTAGAATCGGATAACTTGTTTTAAATTCACTGTTGGGTTTGTCAATTCTGATTGTAGAAGTTTTTTAATCTTTAAGGTTGGGCGGTGTCTTGATTCTCTTATGAAGAATCTAAGAAAATTAAAAAAATAATATTTAAAAATTAGTAGAGTATTACGTGGGTTAAGGTGAATAGGCTTAACAATAACGTATTGAAAAATAATTTGAGTACTTCATACACTGTGCATTGGTGTTCTACGTGAATAATTAAAGTATCTTTTTTTTTAAGCCTGTGCTTTAATTTATAATCTATAGAATTATTGCTTGTGGTTAATTTTGATATTTTGTGTTTTTGACGTTAGGTTTGACTGGCAAAATTTTCAATAGAAGAAGACATTGGTAGATCATGATTATGCGTTCATGGAAGTCTGCTTACATGTATTTACATTGTTTTTTTTTTTTCTCTTAATAAATAAAACATAAACTACATTGTTAGCTTGCTGTTGGAAGCTGATTTTCGAAGTTTGGTTCCCTTTGTATAGCTATGATGAATATCTTCTAGTTAGTTCTCGTTCTCTTTGCCCCTACTGTGGTAGTACTTAGGCGCATTTGTTTGTTCACAATAGGGACAAATATAATTTACATTAAAGGATGTAGTGGAAGCTGAATTTATATGAAACTGGCAAATAAGCTTGTCCTATGATCAATTTGAGTTTGTCTTGTTTTTTTTTCTTGTGAGTTATGTGCATGACTTAGGCCGCATTAGTTTCATGTAATCAAGAGTTTATTACTCAAATGTTCAAACAACAATACCAACCCTCAACCAGACTTTTTATCTACCATATAAAGAAGCATTTTCCTTTGTTTTGCAGACTAGTGTAGCTCAAAGCTGGGCTTGTATGGATCTCTATGTCTTTGCGACTCCATATAGGATAATTTGGGATTACTACTTTTCTGCTCGTGAACACACTTTAGAAATAAAGTCATGGGAAGAGGCGGCAGAAAAGGAATATGTATACACTGACTCCCATTTTCACGTTTTTTCATTTTTCGGAACAATTAAACTGCTGACCATTGTTTTCTGATATTTTTTTTGTGCGCAGGTAAAACAACACGGTCTATCTGTATTTCTCATGCCATCAGGAATGTTGAGGACATTTTCATCATTGATTGATGTCCTGCCCTTATTTTCTAACACTAGATGGGGTCAGAATGCTAATCTTGCCTTTCTAAAAAAGCATATGGGGGCTTCATTTGAAAAACGATCACGTCCTTGGGTTACTCATATTAGAGAGGAAGATGTTCACACTGGGGATTTTTTGGCCGTGTCAAAAATACGGGGTCGTTGGGGTGGATTTGAGACACTGGAAAAATGGGTCACAGGTTCATTTGCTGGTCATACAGCAGTTTGCTTGAAAGATGAAATGGGCAAGCTTTGGGTTGGAGAATCAGGACATGAGAATGAAAAGGTGTGCCTAGGAGGCCCTCAATCTGATGTTTTCTGATCAGGATTTAAAAGTCTTTTCTTGCATTTACTTTTCTTCCATATACCTTTTAACTATTAATTAATTCTCTTCTGAAAATTATTATTTTTTCTTTCTTTTGTTATTTATGTCATCTACGAAGATAAGCATGAGTCTATCGGTTAAATTTGAATGTGATTGCTTAACTTTAATCCTCTGGATTTGATGGTGTGTTTGCAGGGTGAGGAAATTATTGCGGTAATTCCATGGGCAGAGTGGTGGAAGCTGGCACGAAAGGATAATTCTAATCCCCAGATTGCTTTGCTTCCATTACACCCTGATCTGCGTGCAAAATTTAATGCTACTGCAGCATGGGCTTATGCTAAGAGTATGTTAGGAAAGCCTTATGGTTATCACAACATGATATTCAGTTGGATTGATACAGTTACTGAGAATTATCCCCCTCCTCTTGATGCTAATTTGGTATGTCATGAAAGAAGAAAGTAATTGGTTTGTCAGGTTTCTTGATACACTTATTTCTTGTTTTGTATCATATTAGAAGTTTTTGGATAAATTTCAAACTTCTCTAGTTATTCAGTGACTAACTCTTTGGTAATGCCCTATTTGAATGATGCTTGTGTTCTACCTTTTGAATGTGGTTACATTTTCTTAATTTATCTTTTGTGTATCTTACATTAGTAAACTTGTAATGTTTATCAAGGAATGTGGACAGAAAGTCATGTAGAATAAGTAGAGGTACAGAAAGTTATGAAAACGACTCTACACATTGTCAATATGACATGCTTCCTTTTATATTGTGAATGCATTACCCCTTAAGTTTCCTGCGGATAGAGTTTGCTACTGAGACCCAAAGGGTCAAATGGTATGGAAGAAAAATCATTTCCCATATAGAAGTTATTCAGGAAGGAGTTTTGATTGATAAAAAAGAAAGAGTCGACATTAACCACTTTTGGTCTTGCTTGTTTAATTAGAAATAGCTCCACTGATAATTTAGTGTTAATTTGTAATAACTTTCATTAGGGCTCATCAGAGAAGTGCTAAATGTTTTCAGAAGTTCTTTTACTCTCATTATTAGTGCAATGCAGAGTTATTACCTTTTCAGTTTGAGATGGGCTGCAAGCTTGTATTTTTGTAGTTAGTACTTATATTACCCTAAAATTGTATTTGCAGTTTCAATTTTCTGTTAATTTTAAGAATGTAAGTGAAAATGATTGTGAGTTCTTAAGGAAACGTATTATCTTAGTTGATCCCCAAGGAAATCTGAGGATATTTTCTAAAAGGCCTATTAATATAATCAAAATTTCATTGTTGTGGATACTTGAGTTTATGCAAAGATGGGAATCAAGGGCTTAAATAAGGTTTATGTTTCCATAATTAATCACCCCTCCCTATTTGGAAAGAACCATCAGATAAGGAGATCACATAGCTATGGGCATGGATGGTAAAGCTAGTCAAGGCCCCATTGTTTTGGGTTATCATTCTTTGGTTATTACTTATTAGGAAGCCTTGACTATGACAATATATCTAACCCCTTCAAGGGAGCTATATGTTGTAAGTACTGGCATTATTCTGTGGAGATTGCTAATTGCTATGACCATTAGCTTGAGTGACTTTTGTTTTCCTTGGAAACAATTAGTTGTTGTATGTCCACTTTTGGGATGCTACAATTAGCAATTAAAAATTTCTTATATTATTGGACAACACTCAATCTTCCTCTGTCTGCAATTCCAGCAGTAAGTATCTGTTTTTTACTGATTTTGCTAGGTTTGTCATTGTAGCTACAACACCTCTATACACTCGTAAATGGGCATTGAAACTATTGCTTTTGGAGTTCTTTGGAAGACTTGTTGATGGAATAAATGAAGAGATTAGGGATAAGTGTGCTTGGGAGAAGTTTTTTTTATTTTCAATTGAATTATTTACAGGATTGGAGCTTTTAAATAGAACAATTGCAGAAAAATATGAACACAATGGCACCATTTTGAGTAATCATCAAAATTTTATATAGCATCCACACAATTAAATTTGCAAGAGAATTCTCAAATGACCTGATAAGTGCGAGTTGAAAAATTAGAAAGTGTATGCGAAAAAACATTTAAGCTACCAAAATATAATTTGATGTGCATAATAATGCTAAAAACATTTAAGCTACCAAAATATAATTTGATGTGCATAATAGTGTAGTCGTGCATGCACTTCATAAGATTTGAAAGGTACAAAACATAAATCTAACAATGTGGACTTGTTTTTCAAGATAATTCAATTCCAAGTAAGGTGTGTAAAAAGCTTAAGCACTTCGAAAGGTGCATCAACCCCGGAAGGATAACTCCTACCAATTGAGCTCGGGTTAATCGACTTAAGTTAATTTCTCAACAATGACAAGTGTTCGTGGTGGTTATGTTCAACAAGCCTTGGAAGTTACGACGAGTAGCCATGCTATGCGATTGAGAAAGAGAAGTCTGGTGAAGAACCAATGTGATTGCGCTCGACTCTTCTAGGAGTTTGGCAACATTTTGTGTTATAGAGAAGTCTTAATTGGCATTTTGGCAGCCTACTGACGTCTCGAGTCATGCTTACTTTCTTCTAAGGGGAAGAGGCTATTCATAGTCCTTAGGTAATCTTGGGGAGGCTGGGAGAGGCTTAGTATTAGTTGATGAACTCCACATGCATGGATGCTATAGAGGCAGTTTGTATGAGGTGGTGTAGGACTTTTTGGTATGGATGGGAGGTAATGCGAGAGGATTCGATAGGGGATGATTGCTACAATGTTTTAGGGTTACTTTGTTTGTCTCCATAAAAGAGACAACTACATAGTGAACGAGCTAGGTTTTTTTTTTCAGCCACTTTTTTATTCTTTTGTTTTTTGACTATATTACTTATATGAAATGATTTTAAGCTAAAAAAATATAGGATATATTGGGACATATAAAAAATTTTTAAGAGTAGATTAAGCGGTTAGCAGTTAAATCATCACATTTGTGCCTAACTAAAACATTTTAATTCCAACAATATTTCCCCTTATGAATATGATATGCAACTTATGCTATGAAATTTCTAGTAAAACTTTTGTCTTAAGAGTGTAAGTAGTGGCCTATTTTAGCAATGTTCTGGGGCATTGAATCAAAGTTATGTGGATATGAGTTTCTTTAGGTTTATTTGATGTGGAGGCACTTGGCTTAACCCTTCATGTTGAGCAAAGTAATGGTGTCTTTCATAATGTATTGGGATTCCCTTGTTGCTTGAATCAAACCCTACCCTTCGGTTTATTGGGCTAGATGCATTGAGTTGGTCTTGATCACTAAGGTTTTTTAGATCATCTTATTTTCTTGGTTTTAGTCCTTTGAGCTCAGTGAGCCAAATATGTCACTTTTATCTTTATTGCTTGTGTTTGTAGGTGAGATTGCTTGGGTTTGTGAGTGAGAACTTTGCTCAATCCTTAGGCTTGTTGAGATGAGAAAATAGTTCCCTTGATCTAACTGTTGGAGCATATGGAGCAATGATGAGTGTTGACTTGGCCCTTGAGTGTAATATGCCTAGCTTGTCCTATAGGATTTTCGAGCTAAACGTAAATGTGCTAGTTTGTTCTTGCAATTTTGTGAAGTAGCTCAAGTTTTCTCTTGATCCCTGGACCTATTGAGCCATGGTGCATATTTTAACTTGGCTTCCTTGGCTTATTGAGTTAACATTGTCAACGTGACCTTGGTGCTTGTTGGGTTATGGTTAATTTTCCTGGTTAGACCCTTGAGGTTGTTGAATTGATATAGAATTTGGTTTGATCCTTGGACATTTTGAATCAATAAAGATGTTGTATATTTGCCAACTTGACCATTGGAGCTTGTTTATTGGTATGGTCAGCTTTGCCATTAGGCTTGCTGAGCTAAGATAAATTTTCTGCTTCAGTTATTAGGTTTGTTTACTAGATATTATATTCTAGCTTGGTTTTTGGTTTTGCTGAGAATGTTAAAGTTTCATATGCTTTAACTTTGCTATTGAAGCTTGTTGACTTCATGTGATTAGCTCACCTTTTTATCCTATTGTGCTGAGGTGCATATTGGTTGACCCTTGAACTTTTTTATTCAACATCAAGCTTGGTTTGTGCTTCAACATTTCAAACCATGGCCACTGGGGAATATGTGATGGTTTGGATTATTTTGAACTCTGCCACTTAATGTTTGTTTACTTATTTGTTACTCTTAGCATAGTCATTTGGATTGCAGAGAAGTTTGGGTTTAACATTTAGCTAATTACACTTGTAAGATTATGATAACCAACATTTGGGCTTACTTGAATGGGGTTTTGTCTTTGAACTGGTTGCTGGCCCTTCCTTATCCATAATTTTGACGTTATGATTTGTCCTTGTTCTCTTTGGGCTGATTGACTCATTTGTGAAACAATAGTTTGAACAGTCTCAGTGTTGTATAACATGACTTCTCTAAGGAGGTAAGTAAAATAATCAAGAGTACCCTCTAAAATTGATGATAGGCATAAGGAGCTTTTGAGACACTTCTTCTTGCCTTATGTAGAGACTCAGTAGATGAATGAGTCTCCTTAGTAACTTACTTTTGATTTACCGCTAGAGTAGTCATTCAACATTATATAAAGAGTTGAAAAATTTGTAGATGCGTGACTTGAGGCCCCTTAATAGACTCTAAGGTTTTGGTAGACAAGATGATATAAACTATTATCTATTTTGATTTTTGAATGAGTTTATATAGAAATTTCTTTGTGTTTGATCGATGACTTTCTTAAAAACTTCATTGGAGAAAATTCGACTCAAGCATGGATCCTTACCAATTCATTAAACATAGGCCCATTTTCATCTTTGGACTTCTGAAAAAAGATATTTTCTTCACACTTAGACTTGTTAGTCTATATTATATCTTGTACTAGGTTAAGACGGGGAGAATATGGAGGACTTATCTAATTTAGATTTTATCGAGTCATTATATTATACCTAACTTGATGAAATCACAAGGAGGTTTCCTTGGACCTTTTTTCTTTTCTTCCTCTCTGTGTCTAAAGAAAAGATTTCCTATGCACCCCTCAAGCCAAATCGGTAGTCGAGGACTAGGATGTTGTTTATAATTTTTCAAACAATCAATGAGTCTGATTTGTTTTTTTTTTAATGGAACTCTTGGGCTGAGGAACTAGGGTAAATTGGCCCCATGTTTTGATCTAGTTATAGAAAATTGTTCCTTTTATGACAGAGTATTTTCTTTGGATGGCCTTCTTGGTGGAGTACATTTGGATTGAGGATTAGTTTGATAAAATGCTTCCATCAAACATCTTGAATTGATAAGAGGATTTTGATCATTTTGAGACTTTTGACTAGAGGATGATCTCTATAGTGCTCACTGTTGCAACAATTATAGTAGGTGAAGGAAGCATTGGTTCCTTTCGATCCTATTTTTGTGGGATCTTCTAGTGATGGATCTTCAAGGATTATTTTCAATATCTACCTTAAATGCTCATCAAATGAGTCTACGTGCTTTTTTGGAAGCCTTGAACTTTGAGTTGATGTAGGGTTATCTCAATAGTGGATCTTTAGGAGTTGTGATATGCATATGTCATATCCTGATGTTCACTATTAACCGAAGTATCAAAGGTCTTGATTTGAGTCTTCTAGAATTTTTTCCCACGCTCTTTGCATTTTTCTATAATATTTATGTATTCTTGTTAAATTTTAAAGAAATTTCATTAATTATTCTATGCATTATAAAGTTCTCAAAATAAGAAAAAAAAATTCAACATGCATCCTGGTCTATGGAAGAGGTTGTATTAGGTTTTCATAGATTTTCCTGATTTTTTTTTTTTGTGATTTTAGTGACCCTTACAACACTTTTTGGCCCTTTTTTATTTTAAAGGCTGGGGATAAATATGCGAATTTGAATGACTTGAGTGTATTTTTGTAATGTGATTTTGTATGCATCGCTCAAACTTACTATATTTATATAAAAAACATTCAAGTGCTTCATTTATAATAATATTAACAAAATCTTAACGAGCACAACAAATTCACGAACTTTTATCCCCTACGATTTGTTAAACTATTAATGATTTGGTTGTTCCTTATACAAATATTTAGTGGTACATACATAAACTTTTTTATAATTATAAACAAATCATAGCATAAGCATTTTTTTTTTTAATTTTGGGATGTGTCTAAGGCTAATTATGTGAAATCCCTTAAGTAAAAAGAAGCTAAACTCTTAAACACCGATATGCCTTTTGATGTAATTGTTGAAATTTCATTAATAAACTCAACAGTCAAGTGTGCTCATCCGGGAGAAATCATGGGATGGATGACCTCTTGGTAAGTTACACCAACAAGACAACCGTGAGACCCTTAAGCCAAAGCAGACAATATTTTGATTGTTAAGAGTTTGAACTGTTACAAATAGTATCCGAGCTATACACCAGCCGGAAGATGAAAATTAAATGTCATACATGACAAAGTGTTGCGCCATGGGAGCCACCTCTTGAACCCTGTATGGGATAAAGTGCTACGTGGCAAGAGTCACCACTTGAACTTATAGGGGCCACTCCTAGAATCCTATCTACCTAGTGGATGATTTTGGGATAAAGATACTAACGAGGATGTCAGTTACTTAAGTGTGAGATATTGTGATCCCCTTAAGTAAAAAGATGCTAAGCTCTTAAGCATCGAGGCGTCTTTTGGTATAATGGTTGAAATTTCATTAAGAAACTCCGCAATTAAGTGTGCTCATCCCAGAGAAATCCTAGGATGGGCGAACTCCTGGGAAGTTACATCAACAGAACAAAAATGTGAGGCCCTTAGGCCAAAGTAGATAATATCACGATATTAAGAGTTTGTGCTGTTACAAATTATCAGCAAGAAATTTGTTAGAAGTGGAACTTCCAGATATTAAGAATGTTGATATGGAACTCCATATGTTGGGAATGTTGTTTTGACACCATTTATGGTTGCCACCTAAAAAATACGGCATGCCATGTTAGCTAGTAACTTGATGTGCCACTTGATTAGATTCCCATTTGGTGCTAATAGGGCTAGATTCCCCTCCTATAGCTTGAATTATGTTGAGTTAAATAGCTCGAGTTATGTTGTGTCAGATTGTTAATTCGTATTCATTAAGTTAATTGGGATGCCTTGTAAAGATGGCTGTCATCAATTGAACCAGTCACTATGGGACTGAGTTGGGTTCAAAATCCTTTACTAGTATTTTTTTAAAAAGCTCAATTGGAAATTTGGAAGGTGGCTACTCATTATTGGTTATTGGAGGTGGTTGATCCAAATAGATTATCCATACCTCAAGCATCCATGGATTAAGCATGGGTCAAATGTTGATTGACTTCTTGATTGTGATGGTTGTTGCCAATAATAATAAGATTTATATGCAAATATTGGAGATTCGTTAATGATTGTTGATGTTTGTCAAATCCTTGGAAGCACGAAAAGTGGCTGGGATAAGCAATTAGGGAAGCAAACTCCAAAGAAGAGCCAATGGGGATGTCTCTATGTGTAGAGTGCATTGAGTAAAGCGACATTTGGTTTGTGCAGAGATGCCCTTTGCAAACACTCTGACAGCCTCCTAGCATTAGCATTGGTTTCTTCTTTCTTCAATGAAAAGGATGCTATTTATAACTATCGAGGTAGCCTAGGGGAGGCTAAGAGGTGCAGTCGGGTTGATCAGCTTGATGTGCGAACCTCATGGAGGTAATGTAGATGTGGATTATGTGGAGAAGTTGCTAGAACAGATGGGTGGTGTTTCAAGAGAAGCAATAAGTAATACAATTATTACAATATTTTAGGATAAGGAGATGGTTACACAGTGAATTAGTCTAGTTCAACCTATTAAATAGGCAAGGCATGACCTGCCAGTCATCTTTTTTATTTTTTATTAACATAAACAATATAAAAGGATTTTTAATCCCATAGAATATAGAAAATTTAGGTAAAAAAGATTAAAAAAACTCAGGGAATAAACTAAGTGACCATATTATCCATTATTTACTAAACAAGACAAAAAATAATATTTTTGCGGACTTAGGCATTTGAATTAATAATCATATATGCTCCTAGGTTCATAGTATGCATTAATAAAGTAGTTTATATGAAACTACAAATTTAGAAAATAAGTGACAACATGTATTTTAAATTGGTGTGATATTGATAATTCTTAGTCAATATTTCTTGATGGTCAAGTTGTACTAAGGTGTAGGAGATTTATATATTTTGGATCTAGTATACAAAAGAGTAGAGATATGGATGAAGATATAACTTTGAGTTAAAGTTGGGTAGATAAAATGAAAAATTACTCATGAGATTAATGAGATAATAGAAGACATGGGATCTTAAAGGGAAAAAAATCAAACTATAATTACTGCACTAGTTTATCTTATTGTTGGGTGATAAATAATATATATCCAAGTTTAATATGGTAAAAGAATATTAATATGAATATAACATGTGTGGAAGAATTAAAAATGAATTATTAATAAATTATTGGACTATAGAGATGCGGAGAGTAATAATACATATCGATCATAAGTTACTAAGTTAGTGAAACTAGATATTGTTAGTTTGCGGATTTATAATTTGAGTTGAAGATGCATCAATAATATGAGTACATAAAATTATTTTAGGATGATTTTGAAAGAAAATTGATCGAGAAAGGGTAGCATTGCTAGTTTATGCAAGTTGACACCTCATGCATCTGGGGCAAGGAAAATTATTATAGTGACAATAGAGTTTGGGTTAAGGATAATGATGATGATGATGGTTTTAGATGAAAATTGCTCCCTTTTTTCTTGGAAAAGTTAAGCACATTCTCGAAAATTGAAAGGGTGGGAAATTTGTCCTACTCTATTTTTAATTGAAGGCATTGGAAAAACATAAAATATATGAAAACTTCTGCTATTTAACATGATAAATGATCCCTAAATCTGTATGCTATAACACGATTTGGTAGAGTTGACAGTTGTGTTAAGCTATGATGACCACTCATAATTGGTTTAGTTTCACACTCTTCGATTCTTGGTGTTGCCTTTTCTTTCTCTTTTAAATAACAGGTTTATGTATTTACCACTATAGAAAATTCTAGACTAATTAGCTTCTTGACATTGTAAAGTACATGAGCTAGTTGGGGTAATGATGATTAAAGCACATGAACTCCATGCCAGAGAATAATATTCCTACATGCAGAATTCTGCAATGTAAAAACTGTATGGACATCTTAATAAGTTATAAATAGTTTTCAAGCCCATTTATCATGTAAAGATTGTTACTTGTAGATTCAACTGTGTATAGGATGCTGATGGAGAGTTGGCAAACGTAAATTTTGTGTTTGGTCGATCATGAGCATAAACAGGATATTATTATTGTTTGTGGAGGGGTAGTTTTGTCCAATTTGGTGGATAAGTCTTAGGGGTGTTTGATAGCAAGTAGGATTTAGTAAATCTTATAAATCTGTATTTAGTAAATCTTGGGAGTGTTAAATCCTGGTAATTGTTTTGTTGCCAATAGTCATTATTTTTACTCCAACTTAAATCCTGAATATGGATTGGTTGAAAGTAAGAAGATTTTCTAAATCCTTAAGCGGCTCTTTAGTTGTAGGATTTATGGCGGTGTTGGCTAGCCAAATAGTTTTTTGAGGCTTTCTAAAATCTTAGTTTTTATAAATCTAGGATTTAGGCCTGGATTTATAAATTTTGGAAACCTCAGATTTGTGGACTCCAGGATTTAAGAAAGGATAAAAAAATCTTTTGGTTGGATTTACCGTAACTACAGCCCAATTTTACTTTAAATCCTGCAACAAACAACCCCTTAGGTCATCTCTTTGTTACTGTGCTAATAGATGTCGGTTATCTCGAGTTCATTTTTTCTCTATATTTGGGCCTGGGAAATCATTTTGGGCATTTGAGTTTAGGAATTGTTTTTATATGATTGCTACTGATTGAAAAGTACAACCATGTGCATGCATAGTATGTTACATGGTTTGAATATGAACTGAAAATTGTCAATTCGGTATTGACAATACACCTTTTACCTAATTTTTGTGTTATCTATTGGTTTGCAGGCATGCTGTTGTTGAGTTTTCATTTTATTTTGAGATGATTGCCTGGTTGAAAAGTACTAAGCCATGCACACGCAGTATATGTCACATAGTTTGAATATTAACTGAAAATTGTTTATTTAATGGTCACCTCCTCCTCGGAATTGCTCTGCAAAATATTGTTACGTTCCTTTCAATATCTTAGAATCTGATGATTTATCTAATAGCATTTTCATGTGTTTTGTATTTTAGGTGATGTCCATTATGTCTATGTGGACTAGATTACAACCTGCATATGCTGCTAACATGTGGAATGAGGCCCTTAATAAGAGGCTGGGAACTGAGGTAGACAATTTCTCGTTTAGCAAGCTGTTCTGTTTATGGAATTTATCTAGTGATTTCTTTCAGCTTCAATCCATGCAAGCAGCATCCTCTTGTAACTGAGAAATCCATGCGCGTGTTAGCAGTAGGCTTAATTTTATAGTCATTGTTATGCCATTGCGTTGTTCTGTTTGAATGGATTATGTTTTGCAGGAAATTTTATTGATCCAGAAATAATCTACTTTTTAGAGCACCCTTCCTGATTTTCAGCAGCTTGTATAAAGTGGCGGAAAATCAGCGCTCAATAAGCCTCTACAACCATATAAAATCAGAAATGGAACCTTTACTTCCTTTACAAAGTTGAAAGCCAACTTTTTCTGTCTGGAAAGCAAAAAAAGTGGACGAAATTTTTTAAATAGTCTCCCGACTATTCGTATACGGCTATTTTAATCCCAGGGTATAACGTTGATCTAATTTAGTCCCTCCACTGTACAATTGAACCAACATTGTCCCTTTAGGATTAAATTGGGATCAATTTTATATCATAATTATAATATGATGGACTATTTTAGATCCATTTTGTATAGCCAAGGGACTAAATTGGAGCAAATTGATATTTTGGGACTAAATTAGCTACACACGAATAGTCTGTGGATTTTTTTGGAATTTGTCTTTTTTAAATATCTGTCTGTAATATTAATTCCTAATTTTATATTTGAAATAATATTTGTAAGTTAATCAACATCATGATAAAATAAACCAATGACACAAAAAAAGTATGAAGCATAAGAAACAACAAAGTAACATCTTTAGGAATTTGAAATACCCTAAAATTTATATTTTCCTTGCACTCGGAAATGGCCTAAGTCAGGTGATTTCCAAATCCTACGTTGCACCTGCTCATGGCTCTCTTCTACGCCACTCGTCTGTTGCCATTGCTCGATGCCCTTCGTTGCCCACCACCTATTGCTTGCCGCCCATCACCACCATCTATTACCAGTTGTCCTTTTTAGCATTTCAATGCTTTTTAAATGTATCATTAACAAACACAAAATATTTTAATACATCTGATTACATCTAATCAAATGACTTCTATATTTTTAAAATGCATGCATTTCAATCACCTATTTCTAAAATTGGTGTATTTCAAAAACATCCAGCTAAGCAACCTCTAATCTACTTTCAGTTACGTTATCTTCAATAGATATTACTCGTTATTCCTATAATATAATCATCCTCTAATCCATCATTCCTTTTTTAGCTATATATTCATCTTGATATTCTTATTTTTGTCACACTTACCTTGGGTATTAATGTCTTTTTTACTGTCCAACACTTGAATCCATAAAGCATCACGGTCTTATAAAATGTATATTTAAGTCTCCATGGTATCGGCATCTCGGGGCACTTCATTTTAACTGCCTAGATTCAACTTATAAGTTTTATCCTTATATGTATTTCATTTTTCTATAATAGATCAAGTTATTAAAACTTTTCATCAATATGTGTCACTTTATATTCTAATTATATTATTTTATATTGAGACTTAATTGCATTTCATATGCCTAATCTTTATTGTACTGATTCGAAGTCTCAGTCTTTTTTCTATTATTTTTACTTGTTTTAACATTTTTCAATTGCATTTCTTGTGGTTTTGTAAAATATATTGAGTATGCATACAAGAGTAAATGTATTAGCTTTATGCATGGGAACAGACATCAGCACTCAGAGAAGTTCCTTGAGGGGAACACTTTGGCACTTGCTAAGAACATTTTGTATTGCATTGTGTCAATTATAGTTTTTATGTTAATTCATTGACATTGAAAGGCGCATTTGTTGTCAATTCTAGTTTGTAGTTTTTATATTACGTAGGAACTTCTACTGTGTATGTCTTTGAAGTGATTCCTTGGTGGTTTGAACCTTTACTTTCAATTTCGAAGTGATTCCAAAATTGTCAGATACTTTGAATTTGCAATCATTTGTGTTTATCCATGCTTAGAGTCTCTAATATATGCTAATAGTGCAATTAAATCATTCATTTTGTTGGTATTTATGAAATGTTCCGCAGAATCTTTTGGTGGTATTTTCTATCAATTGAACGGCATAGCTGCTTTATGGAATGACCCAGTGTTACTCAACCCATTTTGGAATTTTAATTGTATGTCGACAATTAGCCAACCCTTCAGTAAAGCTAATAAAGTTCTTGTTGCCCGCTTTTTTCCTTTTGGCGAACTACTGTTGAAAACCCAGTTTACATTCGCATCTCCACCAATAAGCAGTTGTTATATTTCACCCGTCACACGATTATATGATGTTTTTTGCATGACCAAGTATGCATTCGATGCTTGTATTCTATTCAGGAAAAATGATCAGAATGGTCTCTTAACTCTTTATGAATGATCAAAATGGTCTCAACTATATTAAATGATCATTTTGTTCCCTCAAGTCCTTAAAATGAAACCAAAATAGTTTCAAGGTGGGATTATGTTGGTTCCTATTTAAAAAGTTGAGAGACCAAAATGATCATTTAATATAATTGGGGACCATTTTTGTTTTTCATAAAGAGTTAATGAACTATTTTGATTAGGGGTGCAAACGAGTTGAGTCGAGTCGAACTCGAGTTATGCTTAGCTAGACTTAACTCGTCTGCCAAATCGCGAGCTTGAGCTCAAATGGCCTGCTTGAGCTGAACTCGTTGCAATGGATGCGAGCCTGCGAGGCATAATGCTCTCTTCTTGCTCTGACCTCGCATTCGAGTCCGCACTTTCGCCTTTCGCCTTTCGCAATTCTGTCTTCCGCACTCGAGCCACTCGACAAGTAATCAATTCGAGCTTCATCCCAATCGAATTCAAGCTAGATAATCCAATGAGGTCGAAAATCTGCTCGAGCTCAAGTTCGAAATTCGATAAGCTCGGCTCGTGGGCTCATTAATAAGTCGAGCTCGAGCAGTCTTGCGAGTCGGCTTGACTGGTTTGCACCCCAAATTTTAATCCTTTTCTCATTCTAATCAATTTCAAGTCCTAGAGTCGGCAACTTTTAATTCCTTTTTTATTGAATAAGCATTTGAAAGTATTCCACTATATTTATTATGAGGGAAGTTTTGAAGGAGAAATATATCCAGTTGTGCAAACATTAGCTAGATCATTAAGATAATTGACATGTACTGGAACACTTGGCGCTGACTTCTTGCTGTGCACAAGTTTCCTCTATCTCAAGAAAATACAAAGGGTTTACCTTTTGATTGTTGCAGGACTTGGACTTTCATGATATTATTGCGGAGACGGAGCGACGAGGAATGACTTTTGATCAGCTGCTCACAATTCCCGAGCAAGATGATTGGGTGTATAGCGATGGAAAATCAACAACTTGTGTTGCCTTCATTTTGGAAATGTACAAAGAAGCTGGAATATTTGAACCACTCTCAAGCTCCATTCAAGTAACTGAATTCACTGTAAGTACCAGACTTAGTTTCATTTAGGTAGATTACCTCCATTCAAATGTTGAAATGTTAGCACTTTGTCCTATTTAAGATTCTCATTAGATGGAATGACTCCATATTATTTAGTTATCCTCTAATTTTGCATACTTTATAACTTACTTCAATCATATTAGATACCTCATGAATTGCATATAAACCTATCTAGGCCTCATTTGTTTCGGAGTTTTTTTTTTCCTTTTTTATTTAGAAATGACAAAATTATTTTCTGATCGATGTTTGGATAAGACACTTCCATAGAAATGCTTTTTAGGAAACTTTTGAGAAGCGTTTTGATTTTTGTTTCTCCGTTAGAAAACTCCATCCTCTTAACCATTGTTTCTAAAAGTACATTTTACAAAAGAAAAGGAAGAACGAAACGAAGCCTTAGATGGCTCAATCCGGACTTTCCAACCTTAATATAAACTGTCTTCTGTACAACAGATTCGCGATGCGTACATGCTCAAAATTTTTGAGAACAACCGAACGCTGCTACCGAGCTGGTGCAATGCCGAGGTCGATGACCTGCCTTTCTGTCAGATACTCGGAGAGTACCGGATGGAGTTGCCGCAGTACAATACGCTCCAACCTTATGCGAAGATGAATGAGAATTGCCCCTCTTTGCCCCCAACCTATGAAAGACCTGTGAGTTGCTGAATCCTTATTTTTGGAATGCCTCAAATCTGCTTATGGTGGTGGGGGTTTATGGCCTCTTTGATAGCACCATTGATACAGCCAGTCATTTGCAAGAGAAATGTATATATGGCTTATGCTACTTATATGCTGTTCTTGTGATACTTGTTGCATTGTTTGCCATTTCATTCAAGATAATAAAGTGGCATTCAATGGCTTAAAATGTCTTCTTTTGGTTGAAATATTTTCTTTATCGTTCTTGATTGTGATTTCCTTCGCCTCTCCGCTGGTTAGTACTTGATTATGATTTTGCTTTGCGTCTACGGTTTTTGTTATTTTTTATGGCTCATATCTCTATCTCTATCTCTCTCTCAATTATTCTGTGCGGACACCGAATGGTTCAGAGATCAATCAGAACGTGTCACGTCATCCGGTATACAGCAGTAGCGAGCAACAGTAATGAGCGAAAAAGTGGCGTGGCGTGTGTTCTGATTGGTCTTCAGACGACGTCTGAGATCTGCACGGAATAATTTTTCCACTCTCCCTCCCTCCTTACCCACTTATGTGCACATGTTTAAATAGTTGCGAACTTTATTAGACACAATAAGTTGTCATATCATAATAAGAATAAAGAACAAAAGTTTTGTTTCTCTCATGAACTAAAGATGATATTGCCATAAAAAAAAAGTTGATATTGCAACCAAAACCTAAATAGGTTTGAAGAAATGAGAGAGAGAGAGAGAGAGAGAGAGAGAGAGAGAGAATGGTATGGGTGCCTCATTATACAATTAGGGAGTGGACGAATGGAATTTTTATTGCGTCCTCCCATCTGACGCAGAGATGCGTCCTCCCAGAGCTAAAATCGCGCTAAAAAATGAGAAATGCCAAGCAAATATCGAGCAATACCAAACAATAACGAGGAATATCATCATGTGAAGACCAATACCGAGCTATACCGAGCAATACAAAAAATACCTAGTTTTTTTCTAGAGAAAACTCGGTATGTGCTCGGTATTGCTCGGTATAGCTCGGTATAACTCGTTATTGGTCTTCACATGATGATATTCCTCGTTATTACCAAATAATATCTAGCAATACCGAGCAAAAATTGAGTTTTTTGACGTTGGGAGGACGCATCTCTACGTCAGGTGGGAGGACGCAATAAAAATTCGGACGAATGTGTGCAGCTCTAATATATAAAATAGTCGATAGGTATTATGTAAAATATTTGTCACACAAGTTGAGAATGCACGCGCATCAAGATGCACGTGGGGCAAATGAATATTTTCTGGTTTTTTTTGTTATTTTATTATTATTATTATTATTATTATTTTTTTCTGGTATTATAGATAAACCCAATAGACTTTACCTTGCTTTTTTTATATATTTATAAGAGAAAGATCCAAAAAACAATATTAAATATTAAAGGGAAAGTTGAAGTCTTCTTTGCTATGGATGGATATATTTGGTAAAATCTTTTTTTAATAAGGGATTATTTGGTGTTTAACATTAAGAGTGTATTTAAAAAGAAATGTAAAATGTCAAGCACTTTTAATTATTTCAAAAATGTTTTTTTTTATTAAAGATTTTTCCAAATAAGATGATTTTCAAATCTTATGTTTGGGTAGTTTGCGATTATTTGTCATATAGTATGAAATTTTTTAAAAAATTGAAAATTTATATTAAAAACTGCTTTAAAAAACAGTAAGAAAATTATTCCAAACAAAATCTTTCATTTCTCATATGAAGACATTATAGCTATATCACTTTAAGCTAATTTCATTAGGATATTAATAATGAGAAATGTTATGCAAAGCAACCAAATATTCAGCTTTAAACTTATTTATAACTTTCTTTTAGATGTGTAAATGAGTCAAATTGACTTGTGAGCTGGCTCGAGCTTTGCTCGATAAATGACTCATAAGCTGAGATCGATGAGTTAACAAATCAAGTTTGAGCTAGCTTGACTTGGCTCGTTAGCTCATGAGTTGGCTCACTTAAAAAGTATTAGTATAAAACTCGTAAAATATATTAGCATTTATAATTTTAAATATAAATTTGTTTAAAATATTTAAAAATTATATCTCACTTTTTTATATTAAGTTACTTTTATTATTTTTCTTCTTATTTCTCATTCTTTCAAATATTTTCTTATAAAAATTGCTTAGATAATAATTATTTTCTCTCTTTCATAATGAATGAGCCATCTCAAACTCGTAGAATATAAAGCTTGAGCTCGAGCTCGAACTCAATTAATTAATCAACCTTTAGCTCAAGCCAGGGTTGACTGAGCACAGCTCAACTCATTTACACTTTCATTCTTACATGATTGAAAAGGTCATTATCATTATAAATTTATTTAGAGCCTCATTTGGTTGATTGAAGTTAGAAATTGTGATTGGGAAAAATATTGAAATTTGTTAAATTTATTATTTAGTTTGATGCTTTTGGTCGCCATCATTAATTTCTTATTAATAAAACTTTTCAAAAGTTTCCCAAAACTTATCATTATATTTTCATATTCATGCTGTGTGAAAAATTAAGGCTTCATTTGGGAAGACTTTTTTATTGCTTCTGAAAACGGAGTTTTAGTACAAAAATTAAAAAATTTGTACTACAACTCCGTTTTAAAAAGCAATAAAAAAGTTGTCCTAAACGAAGCCTAAATCTTCTTTTATTTGCAAGCCCAAAGAAATCCTGTAATAGGTAAATGCCCACTCGCTTGTCACTATTAACAAAAATTTAATTTGTCTTCAAATAAGCTTAAAAAAAATTCCATTCAATTTTCCTTAACCCAACAAGTGGTAATAACTAATCTTTATTTATTTGATTTACCATCAAGAACAAAACAAGTGATAAGAATAGTGAGGAGAAGACAACGGAAGGAGAAAAAAATCATTTCTACACTGAAGAGGAGCACTGAATTTTAAGTAGGAAAAGTCACATACGAAAAACAACGGAAGACTTCTAGAGCAAGAAGAAAAATAGGAGAGAAATAAAAGGAAAAGCTAAAAAAATTCTATACAAGAGGAGGGGCACCGATTTAAGTAAGAAAGGTCACCTACATAAAACAGCAGAATGCCTCGACTGTAAAAAAGTTAGAGGGAGAAAATAAGAAGGAGCAATTTTCCCATAGCCCAAGGGGGGTATTTATAGCATTTTTTTTTAAGAAGATAAGCTTCAGGAATATTTTGAAATTTTATAGAATTTTTTGAAATTTTATGGAATTTTTTGAAATTTTTTAGAATTTTTTTTTTTGAATAAAAACAAATTTAAAAAAAAAAAGTTAACCGCGCGCGGCAAGCGTGCCGCCGCAAGCGGCGGGCTGCGGCCTGCTGGTTTGGCCGCCTATACTTGTCCGGGCCCGATTTTCGACCTGAACGGTCTAGGATCTCCGAACATGTTTTTTGATGTTTCAGACTCAATTTTGACACTTTTGAAGCTCAACGATACCTCTATGTTTGAGTTTGAGCAAGTTTTTGTTTTATGGAACACAATTTTTTGCATTCGACCAATGTCAAATAACGAGACAAGTATTTTCGAACTTTTGAAGTTTCGACGTCCGTAAATTGGAGGCAACTGATATATCATCAACAAATTATCTTGATCGGACACGGATCTCAAGGCAAAAATCAAATTGAAAACTTTAAAAATTAAACTCGGGACCATCTGAACTCCGATTTCAGTAAACTTATAGTCGAACTGAGCATCTCGGAAATACGAACCCAACAACACCAAATTCAACTCGATCCGAGCCCAAATGGGTCCAAATCAAAGACCCGAAGCATATTTTGAAGGTTCAAACCACAATTTGGATTACCAAACGGTTTTCAAACATGATATGCTTATAGCCCAAACTAGTTTAGCCCGACTTTCAAGTGACGCTGGAGTTTCACCCAACTTTCAAGTGACACTGGAGTTCCGCCTGACTTTCAAATGATGCTGAAGCTCCGCCCAGCTTTCAAGTGACGCCGAAACTCTACTCTATCTCCAAGTAACGTCGAAAACTCTGCCCAAACTCAAAGTAACGCAGGAATTATGTCTGATCACTAAATGACTCTGGAGTTTTGCCTGAATACCATATAACGCTGAAGACTGGAGTTCTCTTCGGTCGCCGACTGTCGTCAGACTTCTACCCGAAGCCGGACCTCCGCTCGTCGCCAAATTTCTACCATACACCGGACTTCTGTTCATTGTCGGACTTTCGTCAAATATCTATCCAATGCTGGATTTATATTCATTGATGGATTTCTATCTGATGTCATCCTTCTGACCTCCGTCGTCAGATAACGGTCCTACCAACCTCCGTCGTCCGCCGACTACAGTCCTTCCGAGTTACGTCGCCCTTCGACTACGGTCCTTCCGACCAAACAAATATGTCAATAGTGACTCTTTGTATTACGACCGTATAATATACTTCATATAATGTACATCAATCCAAGGCCTTCCCCCTAAGGAAGGGCCTCATTTGTAATCGACTGCAAATAATGACTAAACTCATTTGATGCTTCTTTTTTATATAGTTTTTTTCATTAAATACTTATATTAAATTATATTTATTATTAATTTTCTTGTTATTATATTTAAATTAGGTTATCATGTCTATTTACGATGCGATTCATATTAAACCGACATGACTAAAGTTTTTCTCGGTCTTGTTGGGTCTACTTTGAGTGTAGTCAATCAAGTTAGGTTCAATTCAATTTAATATTATGGGCAATTTTCTAATTAGACTCAGACTTGACTCATTGACCTAAATTGACATCCTTATATGCAACACTCACACACACACATATAATATATATTAATATAAATCATATAATTTTATTCTCTAGATAACTGCACATCTTATATATAATAATAATAAAATAGAAAAATATTTTATGATCACATGAAGTGTTGTATGATATAATTATTATATTCATATATGATTGAAATCTTTATAGTCGTCTGGGGCCCACTTTATAAGTCTTCTTTTCAATATTGATGTTCACTCACAAATTTAATAATTTTTCTTTTCAATATTGATGTTCACTCACAAATTTATCTTTATAAGATAGGCAATTATCCTCCTACCTCAAAATTTAATAATTCTCACTATCATTTTTTTTAAAAATTTTTTATTTTTTATTTTTTTGTTTTTTTAATTTATTTTTTAAAGAGTTTTTCTACCTTATCTTTTTAAAAAAAAAATTGGTATTTTCTCACTTCTATGTTCCTAAGCACTTTTATTGTGTTTCATCATATTTTGGCTAGTGATGCATAATTATTAATATTTTTTTCCATGAATGAATAAATAAAGAAGCAAGAAATCACCTTTATTTCTGATTTCTGTTGAAGCCCTGAAAATAAAATCTTGAAATGTCTGTAGAAACTGCAAAAAAGTTTACTGAAACTCTTAAAAAAAATCTATGAAAATTATGTAAAAATTCTTCAGATTTAGAAGAAACCAAGCTCACATTTTTCTATTATTTTTTTACCAGTAATCAAGTAATTAATTACTGTTAATCTCTCTTTAGATGATAATCCCATTACTCTTAAACTTTAATCATTAAGAAAAGACAGCTCTCATTAAGTTACAGCCAATCTCACATAAATTACAGTAATCAAGTAATTAATTACTGTTAATCTCTCTTTAGATGATAATCCATTACCATATATTAACATCTAATCATTGAGAAAAGACAGCTCTCACTTAAATTACAGCAATTAATTATTATTAATTACTATTATTATCTCCTTTAGATATTTATATATTTTTAAACTACCAGATCAAAATTAGCCTCCTTTAGGGCATCTCCAACCGAGAACTCCATCTTTCACGGAAAAATACATCAAAACTCCAAAAAGTCGTAATTCTGTTCCAATCGAACTTCCATTTAGATGCTTCTGCGAAGGTAATGATCCTTCTCTCCTTTCACGCATTTTTTCTCCAAATTGGGTTGAGAGAGCAAATAGTGTTGGTGAACAGTACAACGCCAAAATAAATGACGAAAAATTTGACATTTGGCTAGAGCGATTGAACGACGCCATAAATACGTTTGGCCTTCGATTGGAGATGCTTTTAGATAATAACCAGCTATTCTGGACAAGAGGTTAGCAGGTTCTTAGTTGGAAGGTCCCCCAGACCCACAGTCCCTAAGCTAAAAGACAAAAGCCTCCTTAACTTTGTAAAAAGTTCAAGATGTCATTTTTCACACATATATATTTAATAATAATAATAATAAATAATAATAAATAATAAATAACCATTAGAAGGAGAAGGAAGAAGAGCTCGTGGTTCCAGGCCTATATTCTTCTCGGGATTGGGTACAGTATTCACCCAACTCCGCAGCTCTTCTTCCTTTTTATCTTCTTTCTTTTCTATAAATAAATCTTCTTCTTCTCTTTTCCCTTCAAAACCTCTCTCTCTCTCTATATTTCTCTCTCTCACACACAGAGTAGAAGTTGAGATGGTCTTCCTTGTTGTCTTCCACAGCTTTCTTGAACTGCATCCATAATTCTACAGAGAAGAAGAGTTATAGCTGCAATTTGCAGTTCAAGACAGCTGTGGGAGATTACAGGGAGAGACCAATTCTGAAGAAGCCTAGAATTATATACATGAATATGCAATTATACATTTTGATGAGATCTGTTACTATGTTGTGAATTTGTTTCTGTTTTCTCTTTCTTCTGTTGCCTTTGAAGGCTTTAAATTTTAGTGGAAGAAGAGTTTTTGTGGTGTTAAGGCCTTTTTTCTTGAACAGATATAGAATTATATGTACATGTTGGTGAGATCTGTTATTTCTTGCAAGGTTCAGTTGAGTTTCTCTTACTTTTCTTATCTTGAAGACTCTAAATTTTGTAAGAAGAACAGTTTTTTGGGTGAATATAGAGGAATTATATATAAATATATGTGAGATCTGATGCTTTCTTGTGAAATTAGGTTAAGTTTTATCTTCCTTCTCTTGTCTTGCTAAACACTTAAGGCCCCTTTTTCTCTTTACACATACTGCAGGAGAGATCCATTGCTTTCTTCTGAAGTTAGGCTAATTATTAGTTCTATCTTCCCTTTCTTGTCTTGAAGAAATTGAATTTTGTTGGAAGAACAGTTTTGAGCTGTTGTGTTGATCAGTAAGTACCTTTTGTTTGCATTACAGAAAAATCTGTCATTACCGTCGGACTTTCTGGTGGATAGACATATGCCGGAAAATGTGTCGGCCTAACTGGCGGAATATACGCCAGTAACTTGACTACGAAATTTCTTGAGAAAGTTTAAGAAAGCTTAAGATTAAGATTTTCTTGATGAGATCTATTATTTCTTTTGAAGAAAGCTTAAGCTTTTCTTATTTTTAACTTGTCTAATGCTTTGTATTTGATTATAATAACATTTTTTGGGGGTGTTTTAACCAATTAAGGCCACTCTTTTCCTTTAATTTGCATCATGAAAAAGGATATCTTCATCATGAATTTTCATGATTTGTTTTACTTATTCAAATACAAGACTGTTACTATCTATCTGTATGCATATTATATGATATAAAGTATGGGCTTTGATCATCCCATAAGCTCATAAAGTAATAAATTAATGGCTGAAAATAGTGATGGATGCACATAGTTGCATTGATTGGATTCCTACTTTGTTCTCTCCATTCCTTTCTTGTTGTGCTCCTCAAGACTATATCCACTGACATGAGCCTTCTGTCTTTTTAAACAGTTGAATTCCTTGACCTATTTGGGTTTAATTTCTTTTGATCACTCCCTCTCCCAACACTCATATCTCTTTCTCTCTCTAGATCTCTCTCTTTCTATCTCTAAATTTCTCTAAAACTAGTACTTGAAAGACCTCAGTGTCAAGGGACCACAAATTTTGTCTGTGCTTTGCTGTCAAGAATATTGGATTGATTGGGTTGGTTAATAAAATAAATTCTTGTGTGATTTAACAGTTCTTCAGATGACAATAATTTGTTTTTCTTTTTTTTTTTTTTGTTTAATAATGAACAAAGTTTAGGTGATATGGCTGTTTTTGATTTGTTTCATTCATTTATATTTTATGATCAGTTGGGCTATTATTACAGACTGGCCTTGCAGAGACTGCCTTTGCAGCAAGCAAGCTTGCCAGCATATGAAAACAATGGCATTTTCTTGTAAGGGAATGGTTAATTTTCAACTTTTCCTAAATTTGGTTTGTTTTTAACTTCTAAATTGTTGGTAGGATAAAAATTCAATGGCTGAGGAGAGCTTGATGTGGCTGTCTAATTCTAGGGAAGGGCTTGATGAGGTGCATGATATCTCTCCATTCTTAGTTCTTTAAGAAATTTGTATTTCTTTCTTAAAGATTAGCCTAGCTAGGTCTAAAACATGTTAGGGATTTGTAATCTTTGTGCAAGTTAATAGGAAGGTATATTGTGCAAAATTTAGTGGAGAATTGTTTCCAATGAATTGCTAATTAATAATTAGTAACTTGTTGTTTTATAATTCTTCAATTAGAATTCAATAGCTTATGTGTATTTGTTTTCTTTGTAGGCAAGCCAGATTTGAAATATCTAAATCTTTCATTTAGGTGGTTTATCAGTTAGTTTTTGTAAATTTGAAATATCATATATATTCTTATATGCAACTTAAAACCCTTAAATGAAAGTTTTAGTAGCTTTACTTTAAAAATGGTTCTGAGTCAGTTGAGTTTCAACAGTCTTTAAGATTTAACTGTGTAACAACCTAGAATTTTTTAATAAAAGCCGGAATTCCTGTTTGAACTAAAGCGATGCGGCACTTTGCCTTTGAACAATGCACCGCTAGGTTGAAGGTGTAGCAGTGCTAGAAAATATTGCCGCGACATTGGAGTCTCTACTCTACAGTAATTTTGGAGTCAACATGCAGCACTGGGTGGTGGCGCTGCAACGCTGCGCACTACAATAAATTGTTTATATATATTCTCTCTCCACTCAACCACCTCCATCACCTACCAATGTCGGCTTACGTGAGAAGAAACAAGAAAGGGGGGAGAGAAGGAGGAGAGAGGAATATGTTTTTTGGATTTTGTTCACCAATCCGCTTCATCGCTTTTACGAAAATTACTCAGATCGAGGTGGGAAACTTTTATCCTATATTTGTTTTTAAGGATTTTGATTTTAGCTGTCTAATTTATTCTGAGTTTATTTTTATTGCATTTCTATAGGATTTATTGAGCTTTGACCGTACAACTTTTTATATGTTATAGTAATGAATATTTCGAATGATTTGGTTGGTTGATTTTGAGATTTCACCAGATAAAATAAAAGTTATGTTATTTTATTAGATTTGCTCATAATAGAATTTTAATATCTAATAAAAATATATTATTAATGCAAGCATTAAGAATGAAAATAGGTATGTGATTAAGTAAAGTCGATCTCTATTATTTATAAAAAAATGTATTTGTGAAACAAGTAAAGACTGGATGACCCATTGGTTGAAGATTAATAGACTTGTACATGATTGTGGGCTGACGGACTTACCCTTAAATACAATGATTTTGTATTATCCTCTAGTTATTAATGTACTACAACTATATAATGATTGAGAGTTATAAAGAGTTATTATTATACTGATGGAAAATTAGTAACGACCCTATTTATTACGACAATGATTACCGATCGACTATTGATTACTAAATAATAAAAAAATACCATGATATTCATAACTCACTCCTTGTTGAATAATGTTGAATATAATTAATGAAATGTATGTTACTGATTTATTATTGATTCATTATTATTGTTCGACCTCATAGTTATTGCATTTATTATTATTACATTACTACTACCTTATTATTTTACTATTTTACTTATTATTGTTCTGCTACCATTGAATTGTTTACTGTTGATGCATCAATTTTACGAATATTGACACTATTACTATTACTGATTTACTATCACTATTACTATCTTTAATTCACTATTTAGTGATTTACTGATAAAGATCATGTGATTCCCATACTGAGTAATTAATACTGAGCATTGTGATATAAGACATTGATTTCATACTTATATAAAATGATTGGATTTCATGTGTATATTGATTTGATTGTATTGCAAGGTCATGGATTCTAGCAATCTTCTAGATTTTAATAGTTATTGATTTACACAATTTCCCCATTGCTTATTCGATTCAATCTTCTTACTGAGTCGCTGAATTATCAACTTATTGATTTACAAGTTTATTGGTACTGATTCTACTGGGTTTTGTTCCAGACTGTTCTATCATTTTATAGGTTTTAATTATTGTTTCTACATGGTACAAATTTCTTATCATAATGATTACCACTACTATGAATTGACTGATGATATATATAATACTTCTTTATCATGTTTTGAGCTTAGTTGTAAGATTTAGTGACCTACTGGGTTGTTGATCTTATTATATATGATTTAAATGATTTCAGGTCAGAAAAGAGGTTCAGGAGTATAAGGCTGATCAAAATTTCTCATGTTCAATTCCTTTATATTTTAGTTATTTTTTGTATTCATGAATGGAAGGATATGCTATGATTATATAATTTCTGAACATTATATATGATTTTTTGGATCAATGAATATAGATATATATATGATGTTTTGATCAAGAGAATTTGCTCCTATTGATATATGAGTTTATTATTGATAAATAAAATTAAATATTTATTATCTAATAAAAGATAAATGAAAGAATTCTTTTAAATTAGATTATAGGGCATGCTAAATAGTATGTTAAAAAACAAAAAATATAATTATATTTAAGAAAGCCTAACTTGAAAATATATATTTGTTGCATCCTGGAATATTCACAGCGATAAAGAAATATAAAGTTTAACATCTTAATTTTGTACGAAGATCAAGCGCCCAATTAGTTAAAAGTGAGGGTGGAGCGTTAATAAGATACAATATAATTTTTATGTGAAAACACTTGAAAAGGGGAAAAACCACGGGGCCTGACCCAATTTGAATGATTCCACTAGTGTTTGTTGTCGATTAAAAATAAGGCTCTTCCTCAGGGGAAAGGCCTTGGCTTGATGTATCAAACATACATCATATAGAGTACATTACATGGTGGGAATTAAAAAGAATCAATATTGACATGTTTGTTTGGTCAGCAAGAACATATTTAGTGGGCAACGGAGGTCGTAAACATCGCATTCTGGTGACGGTGGTCAGAAGAACCATAATCGGCGAGCGATGGGGGTCGAAAAGTTCTTATTCTAGTGACGTTGGTCGGAAGGACTATAGTCGGCGAGCAATGGAGGTCGAAAAGACTGTTTGTCATGAGATGGAGGTCGGAGGGACCATAATCGAAATTCGATGATGATCAGAAAGACTACCATCAGATGACGGAGGTTGGAAGGACCATAGTCGGTGAGCGACGAAGGTCGGAAAGGCCATTATCTAACAATAGAGGTCAGAAGGACCATAATCGACGAGCGACGAAGATTGGAAAGATTGTTGTCTGGCAGTGGCAGAGCCAGAAACTTCTTATAGGGGGGTTCAATTTTTTTTTTTTAAAGAAATTCATGATTGTGTGGAAGATATGGACCTCTTTGTAAGTACGCCCTTCAAACTTGATATTGAATATTAGAAATAATTAAATTCACATATAGGATTTCACAAACCTAAATCAGATAGAAGGTTTTTTAAGCCTACTTCCAGATCTTTTGATGATTCTATTACTACTTGGATTCTTTTATGATTTTGCTCTTCGTCATTTTTGTAGTACAACTCAAATGATTATGATGTTAAAATCGTGTGCAATGTTGAATTTAAGTTTACTTACCAGCATACACAACTTGGACATTGATTACAATAGAGGCATCAGAGTTAGCAGTCTCTAAATAGTGATTCCCTAAATAGCAGCAGCTTCATGTAGCCACCAAAAATAAGCTACAGTTGTTCTAAGCTTGAATGAAAAGATACTAGATTTAAAGCAGTAAGTTAGGCAAACAACACAACCAACTAACACCACTGCTACCATTTGGCAGAATAATGTCACAGACTTCATTGACCATAAAGCATCAGATGCTTTCCTAAAGGGCTAAACAACACTAACTTAAAGCCTTTTTAATGCAAGGAAAGAGGTCCTGATGGGATCGAAGCATCTTAACATTATCCATTAGCTTCTTCATTTGCCTAGTGCGTTCTTTCTCTTCCTTCTTATGAATGGCCTCAACACTCAGTTTGGGGGGAATATCGGAAGGACAATAATCAACGGGTGATAATGGTCATAAAGACTATTGTCTGACGATGGAGGTCAGAAGGATCATAGTTGGCTGGCGATTATGGACTGAAAGACTTTTGTCTGGCGACCGAGGTCAGAAAGATCATAGTTTAGCATTGGAGGTCAGAAGGACCGTAGTCGACTGGTTATAGTGGTCATAAATACCTTTGTTTGGCAATGAATGTTGGAATGACCATAGTCGACAGACGATTGTGGTTGGAAAGATTCTTGTTTGGTGATGGAGGTTATAAGCCTATAAGGATCTTAATATGGCGACAGAGGATGGAAGGATCGCAGTCTACGGGCAATAGTTATCTGAAAGACCGTTGTCTGGTGACAGAGGTTGAAAGCACCATAGTCTGGCGATGGAGGTCAGAAGCACCATAGTCGGTGGAAGATAGATGTTAGAAAGATCATTGTCTTGCAATGAAGGTTGTACAAATCGTACTCGTTAGGCGATCGTGGTCAGAATGTACGTAGTATGCTGACGGGGATCGGAAGGACTGCAGTCTAGTAATGGAGGTTAGAAGAACAGTAGTCAGCAGACGATATTGGTAAAAAAGATCGTTGTCTGGCGATGAAGGTCGAAAGGACCATAGTCGATGGGTGATAGTGGTCAAAAAGACCAATATCTGATGATAGAGGTAGGAAGGATTGTAGTCGAAGGGCAACAATGGTCATAAAGACCGTTGTCTGATGATGGAGGTTGGAAGGTCCGTAATCATGAAGCAAAAATGGTCTGACAAATCATAGTCTAACGACGGAGGTCAAAATGTCCATAATCTGGCTATGGATGTTAGAAGGACTCTGGTCTGGCGACAGGGGTTGGAAGGACTGTAGTTAGTGGGTGAAAGAGGTCAGAAGGACCGTAGTTTGGCCAGGAGGTTGGAAGGACCGTAGTATGACGATGGAGGTTAGAAGGACCATAATTTGGTGATGGAGGTCGAAAGGATCGTAGTCAGCAGGTGACAATGGTTAGAGTGCATGTTGTCTAGCTACGAAGGTCGAAAGTTTCTTAGTCCGCTGGAGACAGTAGTTGGAAATACTGTAGTTAGTGGGCGACAATAATCAGAAAGAACATTGTCTAGCGACGAATTTGGGAAGGACCGTAGTCGGTTGACGGCTGTGGTTAGAAAGACCAAATTCCAACGGTAGTTGTCAAGGGAAAGTCCAACGATAATCGGTGGAGAG